ATTGTACATTTTGAAAAACCCAGAATCTCAATATTCATCCAAATTATTATATGTACAATTGTATGTAAAATTAACAAATGTAATCACAAATATTTTTTCATAATCATCTTATATATATATATATATATATATATCAACTATTTTTTATGATATAAATATATGTGTTTTAATAAAATTAAATAAAATCAAAAAGAGTTAATTATATATCGAGAAAGCTGATTAACAGGGAATATTCTAATCACGCATAATACATCTATGACATTGATTTAGTGAAGAAGAATTAGCAAGTAGACCTAGGGTTAACGACACTTTTGTTGTTTGTACGATCGCGTCTTTGCATTACATGACCGTACATACATACGTCATTATCAGTCAGCTTTCATCGATGATGTAAGTTCCAGTGCTTACACTTTGCCTGAGAAAAAAACTCTCACCTCATCAAATTAAAATCTTCGACATAATAATTCGAAATATTTGTTCATTTATTAAACACCACGTCACGAGTCTGCATCAAGTTATTGAAAAAAATATTATCCAACAAAATAAATAAATACAACATAAAGTTTGTATTGTATAATTTGTTCAAACAATTACTGTTTCTTATTTCAATTATATTTTATAAACTAGATATTTGATTTTATTTAATGTTGGATATCAACTGATTGTGAGCTTACACTGAAAAAAATATTTATGTAAAATTATATGATTAAGCTAGGTGTTTTTCCGACCCAGCATAATCATGCAATATTGATATATGGAAGATTACAGATTATATGTAATTTCATATGAAATATATTCTTAAATTCAGAAATAAATATTTTTTATCGGCTCTCAATATAAATAAATAAGTATGCTGTCTTCTAAGCTGGGCAATAGAGCCAAGGAAACGAAACGAAAAATTAATTAAACGGAACTGTATCTCAATTTGAGATCCCAAAGTTCCACATATAAATTAATTTCGAAACTTACATTCTCCATATGTCGCTGAAGCGGGAAGCGACTTTTCGGACCTATATTTTTCTCGCTTATTTCTCCATATGTAAGTTTCGAAATTAATTTATATGTGAAACTTTGGGATCTCAAATTGAGATACAGTTCCGTTTAATTAATTTTTCGTTTCGTTTCCTTGGCTCTATTGCCCAGCTTAGAAGACAGCATACTTATATATTCTTAAATATTTCAAGATTAAAATATTTCACTGAACATGTAATTACACATAGGAAATGTTAGTAATGTATAAATGCTATAAAATAATGTCATAAATAAAATAGATAAATAAAATTCTAATAAAGTAAAAATAGCAAATTTAAAATTACATATGATTTGTGCATAAAATAGTAATTTTACCTATATTTTACATGTATTTTTACATTAATATGTATTTTCACTTTAAAACAAATGGAAAAAAATTACAGTGATAAGCAAGTAACTTTTCCAGTTCTGAGCTAGGAATTTCCATGTAAAAGTACATGGATTTTTTTCAGTGTACTTTGCTGCCATATTTTTCACAAGTTTAGTGTTAGTTTTTATACGTTTTTATTACGTAATTGAATCTAATAAAAGAACTACTGAAATTTTGCATTATTTGATTTGCCAAAAGCGAGAGGAAAGAGGCTCAAATTGAAATGAACAGACGTGTCGGGTGAAAACCAGGTTCGATAATTAACGAAGACACGCGCTTTTGCAACCGCAACAGAGTATCTCGATGGGCCTAGTTCTCAGAGCAATACTCTGGAAAGTGACGCGTGGGTATAAAAAGAGAAAAGATTTCAAGAAAACACCGGCGGGCGTGCAAAACGTCGAAATAAAAATAACAAGGTACCTACGTAACGCGAAAGTAAATTTTAGGTCGCGCACAAATTCATGATTAATACACCATTAGAAATATATTCTATGCGGTTCGACATTTCAAATCAATTCCCACTAAAAATATTCATTTCATCGCAGATTAGTTTGTAGCAATACGTAAATATAATTAGCATAACTCATAATAATCAGATGTGTAAAGCGAACAAAAAAAGAGACCTTGGTTTTGTTTAACACAATTCATTAGAGGAATGCGACGTAGGCAATTATGCAAAATTTAATTGTAGTGATAAGATAAACATGACCGTGTATTTTATCAGAAAATGTTATATATGTAAATAGATGAGCGTAAGGTTATTTTATAATTAGTGTAATTTATGATATTGCGCATATATAATATCTTGGAAATAACATCTAATAGCTTAATCAATATCATAGAAAAAAAGTTTCTCAACAAACAATTATTCAAACCGGATTGGGATCCATAAAAAATGTGTACAGATTGATAAACACTTTACTTGTGATACATAGAAAAAAAGAATGCATATAAAAAAAACGTTATTTTAGTTAATTACACAACCAATATGTATAATAACAGCAATGACATTCGATAACATTGAGTTTGCAATACTGCTTGATAAGATCAGAAAGCTTATTATTAAAAATATTTTCTCGGTTCTTGTGCAAAAATTATTACATTGCATTCTTTCTAACTTTATTCTGATAAACTGTTGCAAAAAAAATTGCGACGACTATTTCTTGTTTGCTTTTATAATGCATTATTATATATTATTTAAAATATTGATAAAATTTTTAATAAAATTGTACCACATCGATTTCGATAATTTTATTAAAATGTTATAAATATTTTAAAGAAGCAATTATTTAATTTTGTAATTGAAAAAGGCTATTCCATTTTACTGTGATACTCGCACACACACACACACACACACATGTCGAGTTAATTTGTTTATATAATTATTTTTCAAGCAAAAATATTTCTGAAATACCAAATAAACTATTATATTTCAATTCAAGACTATTTGTACACTGAAAAAGATGTTAACTTGACTAAACTTTTTAACTAAATTATTATTTTATTAATTGAACATATATTAATATTTAAGTCAAATAATGTTTTTTGTTATATGTTCAATTAACAAAATATTATATAGTTGAAAGGTTTAATCAAGTTAACAATTTTTTCAACATATATATTTTTCTTTTTTTTAAGAGACTCAAACTATAATAAATTCTTTTGATCTAAAAATATAAGATACAACTAAACTTTTCAATTAAATATTATTTTGTTAATTGAACATATATTAGTATTTAAATCAAATACATGTCTTTTGTTTGTTACATGTTCACAATTAACAAAATATTATTTAGTTGAAAGGTTCAGTCCATTTTTTTCAGTGTATATTATTAAAACTCACAGTCTATCTCTATTAATTTAAATTGATCTTTCGTACGATAGTTTATAAAATTTTTTCAGGAATAAGGTAAAAGGAATGTTTTTGGACACGTACAAATTGCGCAAAAATGATCAATTGTCTCGCTAACGTACACACGAAGTTCGGTTTTCACCGGCGAAAGGAATAGAAAGCCGGGCTTTGACTTCTCGTCGTGCTTGACAGGAGGACACGGTAATTAGATGAATTACGATTTCCTCCGATTGTAATGGACGTCTATCATGCGTGATCGTATTTGTCTCTATAACGACTGCCGAATCGTATGACGGAGAAAGAAACCGCGTTGTAAAGTGAAAAAAAATCATTTTAATGCCATTAATGTCATTTTGACGTATCAATGTCGCGCGCAATTTTGATGTGGGCTACCGATTTTTCTACTTTGTAGTCGTTGAGAGTACACAAATTCTAACTGTCGTTGTTGGCAGACTCGATCGGTTTGCTCGACTCTATACGGAAACCTATAGACGAAGTAAACGGAGTGGTTTAATGAAATAGAACGACTTTATGGAGGTCGACCGGTATCTTGGCAAGACACTGCCGGTTTCCTTCACAAGCTCGAAGCGAGAACGTACGTGTGAATCGACATCATGTACAATTCTACAATTCCCGCTAAATTCTTCATGGCTAAAGAACGAACGAAAATTAACGAGTCATTTCGCGAATTGTTTCGAAAGTGATGAAAAATTACAAAAACGTGACACTTGACATTCTCCTTCTTCTCATCAATCAATCAATAAATAAATCTGAATTCCATATATCACGCGTTGAAACTCTAAAATCGAGATTGTGTTAAATGCGGATATTTTCAACCTAGAAATGCAGAATATTTGTACGTGAAATCTACGAATAAATAAATATGCATGTATGTGAAATATATCCTACACTATCATATATATTATAGCGTGTATAAAACTGAAAGAATATTTAAATTTTGAACCATGTCATTCATCAAACTCTTATGCATATTAATCATATACTTTTTTAATACAAACTGTGATGTGTGTATTCTTAAATTTCTGAGAATAAAAAAATTTTCTCTAACACGAGTATTTAATTACACAAATTAAATACTTCAAATATTGAAAAATAAACAAGGTATAAGGTTTCATCTCAGAATTTCTGAACATTTAAATTTCGAAATTAGTAATGTGAAATTTAGGTCATTGATTGTAACCGTTCACTTTTTTCGTCGCATTTTTGAACCGGCTCCGTTATAATAATAATACTATCCAAATACAACCATTTTCTTCGAAAGAGCTAAGTTTCATCTGTATTGAAAGAAAAAAATTTTGCGAAACGACATCATTCTTCGTTTTTGCGCGCAGATAGCAAAGATCCCTTGTAATTCTCTCTCTTGTTAGTCAATTGCATTCTGCACTATGGTTTGCGTGCAAGAAAATTGCGCATCCCTCAGTAATGAAAAGACTCAGAAAGCGCGTCGCGTACTGCAACCTCACGCCGCACCGCAAGATTTTACAGTATTTTAATCAAAAGAACTGGAAATATGGAAGAGGTGGGTCATATTCTTGTTGTGCAAATTAACATAATCCTTGAAGATTATTATCATGTAGACGATAATTAAACATAATGCATAAATTCGACTGATGTGCAGATATTGGGCATTTGGATGTAGTATTTTCGATATATAATTATAGGTATACACATGTATGTACCATATGTACTTGTGTATGTATGTATGTATATACGTATGTAAGTATATAAATTTTTTTCGTCATATTTTTTATTGCGACAAGATATATACAATATTTCTATGCTCATCACATAGTTACATATGCACGTGCGATTACATAAAGATGTATCACACCCACAAATGTATCTCACTTTTATGTATATTATATAGATAATTTTAGCTTACCTTATTTTTGAGATACGTTTTCACTATACAGATTATCAACTATCGAAGTGTTTATCTATCGATCTCGCCGAACACCACGTCTAATGTACCGATGATGGCGACCACATCTGCGAGGAAGTGCTTGGGTCCCATAAATTGCAGAGCTGCCAAGTGAGCGAAGCCGGGCGCTTTGATCTTGCACCGATATGGCTTGCTGCTCCCATCGCTCACAAGATAAACGCCGAACTCGCCTTTCGGCGCCTCAATCGCGGTATACGTAGCTCCCGGAGGCACCTGGAAACCCTGGGTGAACAACTTGAAGTGATGAATAAGCGCCTCCATGCTACTTTTCATCTCCTCCCGCCGTGGCGGCACTATCTTGGCATCATCGCATCGCACTTCGCCTTCAGGCATTTGATTCAGGCATTGATGGATAATGCGCAGAGATTGACGCATTTCTTCGACTCGGCATAGATACCTAAAAATAACAAATAAATTAGTATTGACAAATATATTAGAGAAATAATGTTTCCTAATTATATACACATAATTGACATAATTTTCCATTCATGTCAAGAAAGCTTGAAAATTTTTTACGAGAAAATATTAGGCATAAAAATTCTTCTACAAAAATAAAGAATTTAAAACAATAAAAAAGGAGGAAAACTGTTGTTGAAATCTAATGTAGATAATTGTGCGATATAAAGAAATCTATAAAAATATATAAAGTAATTGTTTGTAAATCAGTTATTTCTTTTCTACATTTTATATTTTTTGTAAATAAATCTGCAAGCTTACCTGTCGTAGCAATCACCGTTTGTGCCAATTGGTACGTCGAAGTCAACCAAATGATAAGCGTCATAAGGTGCAACTTTCCTCAAATCCCACTTTATTCCAGAACCTCGTAACATCACGCCACTAAAACCCCAATTCAACGCGTCCTCCGCAGTCACAACGCCGATGTCGATTGTACGTTGCCGCCAGATTCTATTTTCCGTCAGCAGATCCTCCACTTCATCCAATCGCTCCGAATACTGCGACGCCCATGCGTATATATCATCCATTAAACCTAATGGTATATCAAGCGAGACTCCACCGGGTCGCACATAGGCTGCATGCATGCGAGCACCGCTCACACGTTCGTAAAATTCCATCAGCTTCTCACGCTCCTCGAACAACCAGAAAAAAGGTGTGAGCGCACCAACGTCCAACGCATGTGTTCCAATGCCCATAATATGATTCAGAATCCTCGTGATTTCCCCAAAAAGAACTGCAAGCATGAGAGTTTACAAATTTATAAGTGTAAATACATTGTAAAGTCAGTGTACAAATGAGAGCAAATCAATTCTAAATCAGGATCGAGAGTTATTTTGTAAAAGTATCTAGTTACAGTTAACAGTTACCGATTTTGAAAAATAACATGTTACAGTTATAATAATTCAAAAAGTAACGAATCATTACTTTTCACACAGTTACTACTTTTTGCAATGACTATATTATATTTTAAATATAATAATCTTATGTATTTCAAGCTTTAGTGAATTATATATTACATATTTGATTATATGCTGTATTATTTTATATGCAATAAATTACAACTATTTTAAATTTAAAATAAAAATATATTTAATATACTAAATTAATAATTTGTAACAAATTTTAACTTCTTCTAACACAACAATTAATATTATATAAACTAACTATTAAACTAGTTACTAATTGAGTTACATTTACCAAAAAAATGTAACTTCCTTACAAGTAACTCGTTACTTCTCAACCCTAATCTTTACCTCTAATGTACTTTGCGCGCAGAGGCACATCTATGTTGAGCAACTTCTCTATCGCCAGGGAGAAGCATTGCTCGTTGCACATCATGGACACATAGTCCAGGCGATCAAAGTAAGGTAACGCTTGCATGTAGGTCTTGTACTCGATCAGCTTCTCCGTGCCGCGGTGCAGGAGACCTATATGCGGATCTGCGCTGAGCACGATTTCGCCGTCCAGTTCCAGGATCAAGCGAAGTACGCCGTGGGCGGCAGGATGCTGCGGGCCGAAGTTGAGCTTGATGTTCTGTATGGTCTGCTCCGCAGAGGGAGTTTGCGCGAGGCGGGACTCCTTGTCTGGTGGCTGCCAATCGAGCTTGTCGTTGTTGAACACAAACGGCTTGTTGAACTGCTCGAGGTACTCTAAGTCCGGGTTCCATTGGTGACCGTTGCGAAGTTGCCTGCGGAAACATTAGAAACATGAGTTCATAGACATAGGAATGAATATATATATATATATATATATATATATATATATATATATATATATATATATATATATATATATATATATATATATATATATATATATATATATATATATATATATATACATATATATATATTCCTATGTCTATGCATGAGTTGCTTTCAATTTACATTAAAATTTAGATAAAGCTCACTTTTGTCTTTCCTCAACATCCACGTTAAAGAGAGACAAAAGTGAGATTTATCTGAACTTTGATGCAAATGGAAAGCAACAATATTGTCGGAGCGGATAGGTTATGATTGGATTACAAGAGTTACATAACGCGACGTACAATCGTACATCTATGCGATTAAGCGGAATAATTAATTTAACTCACACATTGGCGATCGCCGGTGCATTGTTCGGCGCCAATAATCTGCCTGCGCCGAAAAATCCTGCATTTTTACGCAGGATCGACCCTAACACTCTGGCCGCCATGATCACATCACGTCAGGAGTCAGGATAAATAAAGAAGCCTACTTCAGCATGTACGGTTCTCGGTCGGTACAATCGATCGATACATAATACATATATATATATATGCATACATGAATAAAAAATTAAAAATATGAATGAAATTCTTTTAAATATAATCAGAGAATAAAAATGATATTTCAATCATACAATAAATATAGCTATTCGAAAAAAACTGCAGAAAATAATTGACTTACAATTAGTCCAGATCCGCGCGCTATCCGCAATTACAGTATTCAAAATATAATTTAATTATAAATTATTATTTATAAGAATTGTAATTATAATTATTTATAATAATTATAACTATTATTATATAATTATAATTATATATATTATTTATAATAATTATTATATAATTATATAATTATTATAATTATATAATTATATTATTTATAATAATTATTTTAATTATATAATTATTATTATTAATTGTAATTATTTATATTATTTTATATTTTATAAAATATTAATGTATTATAAAGTACGTTCTTTTATGTATACATTTACGTAGAGAAACGGAAAGCGCAATTAGAATTTCTCTCCATGTCCCCTTGCGAAAATGCATATATTCTATATTCGCGCATTTCCCGTTTTACGCATCTATTTGTTTCGCTAAATTCGAATTATAATTGGATATGCGAGCGCGTCGCGGATCTTGACCTTTGCCTGTTTGCTTCTATTTGTATATCTAAACTTGAAATATCCAGAGACGCGTGAATAGACATGAATGTCCGCATCAAAATAAAACGCAATGGAAACAATCTGTTATTTCTCGTGGATATTTCGAGTCCGGCTTGGAAGATCGCCATGGAATCTCCGTGAGAATCCAATTAATGGTGCAATTAATATACATACTATACGAACGAATTATAAAGCATGCATAATTCAAATAACAATAAAAATAAATAAATAATAAATTAATTCAAATAATAAAGTACGGAATTACTGATACACAACATAGCACTTAATAAATATACAAATTACAGAAACTATATATATATATATATATACGAGTTTTCTGCTTATACGAACAACGCGATTGCCAAAAGTTTGACGTAAATTAAACGGTATTGCGAGGCTGTTATTTCGAGGATAGTGTGGTAGTGTATAAATCATTGTTGCTCCCACCAGGTAACATTTTACATATCTTAGCCAAACACACACGCATATATTCGAGTCATATATATATATATATATATATATATATATATATATATATATACGGCCTTTTTATATAATCAATCACGCAGATTGCATTTCAATTCAAACTTTTCCTTTATTTTTTGTACATATAAAATATATATTGAACGTATATATAATTATATATACAAAGGTACAAAAGTTAATCACCTTGTGTTCGATATAAGAAGAAATTCTCTACGAATGTTTGTCGCTGATCGAGGACAGACACACGGCGGATAATTTAGTTCTGTAACTTCGAAGATTGAAAAACTCCGAAATTCAATGTGATTTGCATATAAAATTTTGAATAAACAGACTGTCGTGGAAAGTATATGCGCACTTCTATCGCGAATAACCTAGCGAGAAATCGATATATCATCGAATCGATATATATCGATTAATCGAATCGATATATCAATTCGAATAATCATTTCTTGCTGGGAATTCTTTTTCTCATTCGCGTACAGAAAAAAGTAAAGAGAAAATATAGATGCATATAAAACGTACATTTGACACAACTAACAGATATATGTAATATATATATATATATATATATATATATATATATATACGGCTATAAACTATAGATTGTATCACGTTGCTCGCCTTTATACGCGTCGTGCAAAAATAGAATACTAATAAGTAGAAATAAGAGGATCATGCCTCAACAGCCTCATTATTGTACTCAACGAACTGACATAGACACATGATAGCGCAAAGTATTTTACATTTTCAAGTTCAATGAAACCCTTAAATACAGTTATTACAACCTTAGACTTTAATATAATATCAAAGAATTGATACTACATTCTGGCAATACTTGATATTTATAGCTTTCTTTTGTGTCGAGTCCACAATTTTGATTCAACTGAGGGAGTTCCAAAATGCAAAAAAAAATATTACATTAATTGGAATTTTTAGACAATTTAAACAGATTGTAATTATTCAAATTAATAAAAATAGTGTCAACTTGAAAAAATTGTTTTGACAAATATATTATATATATAATATAATTCATATATACATATAATATATTAATATATCATATATACATATAATATACCTATATGGATTCGTACGATTTTTTGCATTTCGCAGCTTCAGTTGGCCTAGCACTAGCCCAGGCAAGGAATATAAAAATACCGGACCTTTAAAATTACCCGGAAATCCAAGGAAAATATTTCCAACAAATATTTCCCCTTCTTTCTCTCGATTCATCCTCTTACTAATAAAAATCGTAAAGAAGATAACGATGTAGCGACTGTGGTAGCTGCAGCTCCCTAACGATCTTGGGCAGCTTAGTACCGCAAAGCTTGCGAACTATCAGTCTCGCCTGATGGGTCAACGGTAACGGGGTCCTGGCCGCCTCCATCACCAGGGCCTTCTGGGCGTCCGTCAGACTGCTGGACCGTCGTATCATACAGGGATCGAAGCTCTCTGCCGCCTCCAGCAGTGCGCGCAACAGCCGCGGCTTGTCGGCCGTATTTTGCAGAGAGTTGAGGATACCATGCGGATCGCGAAACTGCGTTTTGATCACCACTCGGGCGCCGTACTTGAGCAGCAACGCCACTATCTCCACCGATGGATTCTCGTTCGAAGCGACGTATTCGGCGAGTACCGGGCGCAGCGTCGGGCCGTCGTCGCTGCGGATCACCAGGTTCGGGTCGGCCCCGCGTTCCAGCAACATGCACAGGATCTCCAACCGATTCGGGATGTTGTCCGCGCACGCCACGTGTAGCGGCGAACCGATGATCGGCGACGTGGCGTTCACGTCTGCGCCTGTAGGAATACAATGTTTCAGATTACATTCTATACATATTTAGTCTTATAAAAAAATTACATTAAATTATTTGTACTTAAAAACATGTAGAAAGATTTTAGATTAATTTATTATCGCTTGATTGAGACACCGTCCGACAGTCTTGGCTGACACGATCGATCACGGAGGGGAGTCTATCTGTGCTAGAGCGAAAGTAGAAGAAAGAAGAGTCAAATCGACGAATAGCATCGATATATCAACACATGGATATTCGGCACGCTACGTCCTTCAGATGCCAAGCGATTCGGCCGCATGCCAGCAGGTGTATAATGATATCGCGGGACAATCGTATATGCGATATCGCAATAACTCGCCTGCTTGGAGCAGCATCTCGACGATTGACGGGTCTCCCTTGAGTATGGCCAGGTCCAGGGCCGTCGGTTTCTGATAGTCCGGTCCGAGATCCAGTCGGGCGCCCTGCTTCAGCAGCAGATTGATCACAGCCGGGTCACCGCCGAGGATCGCGTAATGCAACACCGTACGATAATCATGTCTGGCGTCTGCCATCGCGTTCACGTCCGCCCCGTAGCTCAGCAGCAGAAGCACCGAGGCGATACCCTGCAATGTTTGTTGAAAGTTTATGGGAAATATAAACGAAAAGTTGGTAGAAAAATAATGCAGTCTTCTGCAGCTCGATTATTATACCTGCGGCAATCTGGCAGCTTTCATGAGAGGTGTCAACCCCGCGCGATCTCGCGTATTCGGATGAGCGCCGAAGGCCAACAGCAACTCCATGCATTCCAGATCCAGCGGTGACACTAGATTGATCTCGGAGCCGAAGAAGTACCTCTTGTTCGGATTAGCACCAGCCTCGAGAAGAATTCTCGCAACCTCGACGTGGCGGTTCCTCAGGGCCAGACGTAGCGGTTCGTCGCACAACATAGTTCTGAGACAAAAAAACAACGAATTATTTCTCATCTCCTTTTTTCTATAAACTTACAGTTAAGGCTCATCAAAGTATCTTTTTATCTAAAAACTGTACAAGTGCATTTTCTCACCTCTGACGTCAGAATCTGACATAGCCGCGGCGAGAAGCCAGAAGCCTTAAATATATCTTTATCTCTCAGTTAACAACGAATTATTTCTCAACTCTTTTTCTATAAACTTACAGTTAAGGCTCATCAAAATATCATTTTATCTAAAAAGAGGTAAATGCATTTTCTCGCCTCTGACGTCACAATCTGACATATCTTCATCTCTCAGTTAACTTTCAATGGTGTTTGATGATCGAAGCTGAACACGTACCTGGGGAAGAGCTCCCCAGTGTCTCGGCGGTGATCCACCTTGGCGCCATACTTGAGCAGCAGTTTCACCAGGTCCAGGTAGCCGTGCTCGGCGGCGAGGTGCAGCGCCGAGTAGCCGCACTCGTCGGTGGCGTCGATGTCGGCGCCGCGCACCAGCAGGAGTTGGGCCGCCTCGGTGTAGCGTTGCCAGACGGCGTAGTGCAGGGGCCTGAGGCCCTGGGTGACCGGCTCGTTCGGTTTGGCGCCGCAAGCGAGGAGGATGCGGATCTCGTCGAGCGGTTGCAGCCGTATTATCGAGTCGGCCAGCTCCCGTTGCAACGGGTTGGCGATGCACTCGGTCGGCATCTACGTGGCGTAATGCACAGAGATGCATATAAGTATATATTAGAGATATAGAGATGCAAAGGGAAAAAATAAAAAGAAAGATTACATAATGGTTACATCGTGTATTGGCAGAAATTGCCAAGGATTTATAACGAGACAATATAAATGCGACTTTCCGATACCCAAGTACGTAACTCTGGTCGACAACAAACGAGACCGTTCGCCGAATTTATTATTATTTCATTTCCATTAATAGAAGTGAATGCCAAGATGGATTTTCTACAAAAGAGGGGAAGCGAAGAGCTGTCCAGAAAAGCGTGCCAATTTTCAAAGAAATTTTATAAAACGTTTTTTTTTTACAGTGTTTTAAAATGGATTTACTATTTTTATAATAATATTAATATTAAAATATATTTTTGTACAGTTTAAATTAATTTTTGTCTCTATAAGTAGTTAGTCTTGCTAAAATATGACATTTCTGATAAATTGGGCACTTGCAAGTAATTAATTTTTATAAATTACCTTTTATAAATTCAGTTGATATATGGACAATTCAATTCTTAATATTTCCCATCGGTATAAAATTGTTATAGACATAAACGAGGTTTGCATTTCATTGGTAATTGAAATATACATTGATGGTGAAATATAAAACAATGCATAATAAACATATAAGATCGAATAAAAATTCTGAATTAAATCTTGTTAGATTCATACACGTTCCGGGTGATTTAGGGATATTCGTTTGAGAAAAATCTTTCGCAAAGACGAAAGAATCATGCGACATGCATTATTATAATGTGCTTTCATTGCACATTATTTATACGCACTTTAATAGCGAGTCTGATTTGCCTTATACGACGAGCACGGAAATCCGATAAATCTGTAAGAAGATACGAAGATTAATAAGAACTGATAAATTACAGAGTGTAACTCTTTCACGACAATATTTAAAAAGTTACATCATTGTGTAAAAGACTTGCTCCGAACTAATTCAAAAAAAGAAATATAATGAATTATGTATTAATAAGAATTTTTCAGGAAAATTTCACAGTCTTTTCTATTATAATTCTGCATGGTTTAAATTACTGTATAATTATAAAAGATTTAGATAATTTAAAAAAAATTGCACTTGTAAAAATAAATTGACATAAAAAATGAGAGCATAAAAAGTCGAAATATAAATGTAATAAATACATCATACGGATTCTAAATTAGGAAATAAAAATGTATGCAGAGATGTAAAACAGAAAAGACCTCGATTCCCGATCCCGGACATGATTGGATAGATATGATGTATGATTTGAAACGCAGCCGCAAAGATTTTCCTCCAACGATGATCCCGCAGCAACGTGTCGTTTGCGATTTGGCTGACGATAAGTGAGTAATGCAATCACGTTGCTTCTCGCATCGAGAACTTCACTGACGCGCGTCACGAGTGGCAGAAGCTCTGCCAAGAAGACGGCGCAATTTTGGCGATGATGCCGGAAGTCTCGTGGCGTCGTCGATCTCGCACCGCATCGAGAATCGCGCAGTCTGCACTTTCGCGCGAATGAATAAGTTCGTTTTTAGAGATCGATATCTCATATCGATATATATATACATCATTTCTTCATCACGTAAATTCCGAACAAAAGTAACGACGTTTCGAATTTTTTTTTTCACAATTTCTGAGAAAATCCATCTAAATGCAGTCTTAGTTTAAAAAAAAATGTGTACGTAATTTTATTTTATTTTTAGCAACTTGTGCGATTAAATTTTTCAATTTCTCTGAATGAAATCGCTTCAAGTTAAATTTAATTTAATTAAGGAAGTTCTCTCTGCGGTGCTCGCTATATTTTGGAATTATTAATGGCAAAAATAATTAAAAATTCGTGTATCATTTGGCATACAAATTTTTTAATTGCTCGCAAGATTAAGATTGAACGAATTAGCATGACCGATGTAACGGCGCAAAAGAGTCGATATTTCCTGCCAATTTTCGCCGCATATATCCAACTATTGTAAATATTTAGCCTGGATTGATGCAAGATCTTAATATCGCGCAATTCGATTCGATTTACTTTACATTCTAATAAATATCAAAATAAAAGTAGTATATATATATATATATATTTCTAGATACCTATAACATAAATCGCGAGATGATTTGTCAAAAAATCGTGAACAAAATATTATATATAAATTATTTATATATTTTATTTATTACATTATTTCAAATAATTATTATATAATAATATTATTGATAATATATTAACTTCAGAGAAATTCAAAGAAATAATCCCAATCGACAAAACATTTTACGACCTACCGATTTTGCATCAATCGGGAAATTTTCATATATCGCGCCGATAAATTTGATCCTGCGAGAAGAGACAAATATTTGCAATTTCACTAATTTAATGCGCCTTATTAATTATTAATCCCCGAATTGTACGATCGACCGACGACGATCGTGCGTATCCGCAATCGTGCGTGAACTTGACATTTATCCCACCGCTTATTGTTTACTCACGTCGAAGATGGTGCGGTGCTCCAGCATGTAGAAGAGAACGATGTCACGAAAACTGCCTTCCTCGTCGGGCAATCTGGTCCTATTTAAAGCTTCCGACGAAACGGCGCGATTCGCCGCCCGAAAATAACACAAAGGGACGGCGCGGGAGTTTGCGCGTGTGGTTCTCTCAGTCTTCTCTCTGCTACGCAATTTTTCTCCTTTGCCGCTTCATCCCTTTTTCTCTCACCTGTCGATTTTTCGGCAAACGTCATCGCGCCGATCCCTCGAGGATATTCGCTCTCTTCTGTCACGTGCGTTTGTTTTGGCAAATTTTTTCGTTCGCTTTCAAAAAATTACGCGACAATAGGGGATACGCAAATCGCAGAATTTTTAACAAATTTAAAAATGTGCGGAAGATGACTTATGATTCTAAGAATGACGCTTATTAATTTACGACGTGCGAAAAAAATATTATATATAGATGCAGCTTTATGGAGCGGCTTATGTCATTACGCGTCTGTCAAAGATAATTAAAATGTTGATGTTTTCAAACCGCATTTAAAGAATTTGTTTGCAACAATGGCAAATAACATATTATTTTTAGTCGCAGATAACAGAATTTTCTGAATACATATATATATATTTATGACAAGTGCATGCTGATGATCCTAAATGACGCAGTTTTGAAATAAAATGGAGCTTGTGTAAAAGAAAAATTAATTATTCAAATTATCAGTCATTTGTTGAAAATTTACGGCTCGTTATAATAATTTGTTATTTACAATGCTATACATATACATATATCTGTGACACGTGGAGATGTGCTCCACGTGCCAGCACACACAAAAGAAATTTTCCCATCCCCTCTCGCTCTCCGAGCATGCAATAGTGATGAGCAACAACTCCCTCGGTCTCGTTGTCTCTACAACTACGTCTTTTGAAAGTTCACTGATCCTACGATCCGAAATTAAACCGAAGTCCGATTTCTCTGAATTTCCTCGACTTTGTCGCGCCGCGCAATTTCTGTCAAGAACATTTAAAGTCAACGAGAAGAGGGGACCAACAAGGGATTTTTCCTGAGAAAAGTATCTCGTTTACAATTACTTTATGTAGAAAATAACTTGCTCGAGAAATTCTTCAGAAAGTACAAAGAAAATTCGGCGTATTACAATAATTTTAGAATTTTGTTTTGTTATAGAGAGATGCATGCACATATAAATAAAAAAAAAAAAACTGCTTATAAGTATATACATTATTTTCCCGTTACGAGGAAAAGCAATCGTCTTCCTGAAACAGACAACCAAGGCGACATTTCGATGCAACCATTAATGCTCGGGATGATAGAACAAAAAAAGGGTTGGGGAGCGAGCATATTTTTAGCAGTACTTTTATTAGGAAATACTTTTGCACTTATTAAATGCGCCTTATATTCATAATTAATTTTAATTATAATTATTGTTATAGCATTGTCCTATCTCTCTACTTAGAAGCATGCTTTCACTAACACATTACACGATCTTAAAATTATAAGCAATTTTTTTCTCGTCCCTTAAAAATACATCTTACAGTATGTAAATTAAACAACAATACTTGATTTATGATGACAAATGCGCAGAGTTTCGAATTACAGTTCTTCATAGCTTTTTTTTTTTCGAGAACGTCATGTAATGAAATTGCTCAGACCATCTTAAGGATCAAATAAAAAAAATTGTCAAAATGTAGGATGAGGGGGAGGGAGTTTCTTTGTTGCTGGGATTACTGGACAACTCATCCAATATGTATGTATATATGTATATATATATATGTGTATATATATATATATCGCTTATATAATTATATAATTTTATATAATTAAGTCTAGATCAGTTAAGGATTTCATGACAGAATACGAATCATATATATGAATATTAATCGTTAAAGTAAAATAATGATAATTATTATCTGATAATATGTGAACCTCGGGCAATAAACATACTATATTTCCTCGGCGCACACATTTTTGCCTCCTCTTTTTTAAATCCTTACTCTTACACTCTCGGAAGTCAAAGTTACTTTCAAAAGTACTTCATTATTCACACATGTAAAGACTTATCCTTCGTTGCGTCAAAAAATTTCTTTCTCTCTTTCTGTGTTTTCTTCTAAACGAATCTCTATTCGACAAATATCTTTCCGACGCAATTCTGTGATCTACCTACGCACAAAAATCTCATTCTCTTGCACACTCATTATCGTTATAATTACTTTTCGCATCAACATTATCGTTATAATTACTTTTTTTTTTTACTCTCATCCTTTCTTCTTGCTCCTTTTTCTCTTCCGTCGTATAACGCACGTAATGTGCCTTTCTATATAACAATACGACACCCGTACCCGATTTTATTAAGTTCTTACACACCTGATTTGACATGAGAATTATAAAAGCTGGTTTGTTACGATGAGCAAACCAAACGGCACGGTATATTTCGCAAATGTCAATTATGCGAAACGCATAATTCATCATTCCATTCCTACGACGTACCTTATCTTCTGTACTTGGTGTACAGAACATACATTGCATACATATACGTATGCGTGTATATATGTATATATGTGTTTGTGTGTGCATTTGTATTGTATTTTCGCGTACACTTGCATGTCTTTCGCCGTATTACACTGAATCCGCACGCTTTGGCGTTCCATTATTCAGAACACCATCATACATAGACAACCAAAGGATTCATTCTTTCCCTCTCTCTCTCTAACAAATCCGTACACAAATTGTCGCTCTTTCACTGGCATCTTCATATTCTAAGCGTAGTGATCAAGATATCATATCATAGTCCCGATCTATTCGCTAACGCAATGCTAATTCAATGCAGATATTCGTATTCGAAACATTTGGCGTGCACAACATTAAACACGCGCTAGCAACTTCTGCGTCTAACAAGACAATTCGTTATATGATGTTAAAAGGTTCCCTTGAGACACACACGATAGTATTATTATCTTTCGAATGCAAAGACTAACAAAGGAATCGCGAAAGAGCGCGAAAATTATTAATGAAAAATGAATATGTGTTAGAATTCCCGATCCCTTATTAACGTCATACTCAATTATAATAAAGAAAAAAACGTCAAGTAAATCAACGTGGTCGGCAATTCGAATATACGTTATGTTGTCAACAAACAATCACAGCACATATTCCATTTATGCATATAGACCAGGAAATTTGAAATTTACATACACGTATAACATTATATATTCGTATTACCGATCATGTCTTCTCAATAACAATATGATTATGAGTTTTTGTAAATAGAAAATATTTTTTTTTTTTTTTAATTGGAACACTCATGTTCAATAATAAAATATGTCGAAAACTCTCTTTTAAATTTATAAATACATAGCAAGATTCACCTTTTTTAGTCGTCGCAAGATCCATTTTTTCTAAAAAATGAACTATACATTTATATTCTAGGATAACAAAAAGGAGAGTTTTCGTCGTATTTTTTATATTACCAAACACGAGTGACAAATAAGTTCATTTATTTCAATTTTCACTTCTAACGTCATAATTGAGTATGACATCGGAAAGGAAGCAGGCTTAACACGCGTCAAAATAAATCTTGAATACGAGTTTTCGAGAACAATGCAAAATATACATTTGTGTAGTAATAATAAGTGTGACTATATTCTACAGGATACTTAAGGATCTAAGGATCCGTCAAACGGATGCAGTCAAAGGCTTTCGCATATTTTGCGGTATGTATAATACTGGGATCGCGCGCGCTTCGGACAAAGTCGCGCGAAGAAAAACTGAGTAGTAACTGAGTCTTATGCGGAGAACGATTCAAGAAGAGAAACGGCGGCGGTTCAATGTAATATGGCACACACTCCTGATATATCCATATAAAGCTCTATATAATCATACTTTAGACTTATTACTCTTACGTAATCTACAATTATAGAAAATTGAACTCTTATAACTAAATCGCAATCAATTTGTCGTCACTACAGAATCATTCAACATCGCACACAAATTTTAGTCGCAAATAGGCAAGCAACTATATATGTTGTCGATCTTATAGGAAGCAAATTAACATATAGAATGTAATTGTTGTTCTTTGTAACTGTTCCGACGTAATACAGAATATTAATGGTCAAGTAAATAATTACACAAAAATATTCTCGTAGAATATTTCGGCGCATGTTTAATTATTTATTTTTTCACTCAAAGAATGCGGGCACCCGTTAGCAAGGTATTACGTCGGAAAGTTCACATGATGTCACAAATTATTTGATGAAGTAGTACAGATTCCATCACTATATATATCTACCGCTAATAATCCAAATCACTAATAATAAAAACTTAAGCTAAAAAGGGATTGTATAAAAATACTTACTTATACGCATATTATAAATTTATGTAGTCACACACGTAATATATAATAATTTGAATATATCTAATCGAATAACAAATGAAAATTAACCGTCAAGTTATCCATTGATGACGCAATTACAGATCTCATAGGTATGTTTATAAGTGTGTTTTCGATTGCATTGCCTATTTAATTCGTTAGATATTCTCGGTAACTGTAAAAAAAAGACTTAAAAATAAGTGATTCGAGGTTCGATCGATTCTAGAGTTATGATTCTATCTACAAATAATAATACCATCGTAAAAACGGAGAGACCAAAGCGATACGGTGTAATTAAATATAATATAAACTGCCTCAAAATGGCTACCTATTTACTGCTATTAATAGTTGCTATTATGATAATAGTTAAGTATCGTTCATACTTCTTTGATTGTGGTTTAGTTACATACTTTAAGACATTATGATACACATGTGAGTATGACACGGATTTCCACTAAAAATATTTGTTAGATACGCTGAGCATTAATGACTTAAGCACTGTACTAAATTCACATAAAATGTATTGTATTATTAGAAAACTAATTATTTTTCATTGGTTTGAAATACTGGTTTAATAGATCCGTATAAAATCTTTGTCAACTGGAACTCTTAGAACAATGATTTACACGATATATACTGATTCCTCGTTGGAAAGAATGCTTTTATATACGAGTAATTCATTACAGTTCAATTATCTTTCAGTTACTGGACATTACAACAGGCAACAATTGTAAGTCGTGCTTTTAATTCGCGTTAACATACATCACAATGTCCAATATATGCGACTAATTTTTCTTTTCTCTCCGATATTTCGATATATCGTGAAACACAAGTAGAGAAATAACCAATCACGTTAAATATGTAATAATCGCATAAAAAAATGAAATAAATGAGAATAAATACAATTATGTAAGATCTGTGACATATGTTTCGATTAAATGTTCAACTTTAGCTTCTTGAAAACGTGTTTTATCGTCAGTCGGATGGCAGCAGTCTTACTGCAACCGATAGAAGCTCTAACAAGCTTTCTAAGTTAGATTAGTTTCTTCCTTTACATGTATCTTTTGTATAATATTGTCTAATATAAATAAATTAATGATCCAGGGTATGAGGCCAGAGAAAGGCAGTTACACACTCTAAGTGATAGAGATAAACTTTATCCTCTATATGTGTTATTGTTCATGTCCGCTTTAGTTTTGTATCTGGCACTCTTTCCTTTCCTATTTTAGGCTGCTTCTCAGTTTTAACTGTCATTTATTTTGCTGGATTATTGCGTTGCATGGAAAAATATGGCTTTATCCAAATGCTATGTAACAAAGGCAATACACCGTACAATTACAATTGTATGCGCGCCACAGTTGTTGTCATACAATTAAACATCTTTGAAAAGGCAGAACTGGCGTTTGTAAAAATAACGGAGAATTCGACGTTTCATCGTCGATTTTTACAGACACCAGATTATGATTCTTATCATCAATTACAAATGCTGTTATTTGTACACTAGCATGTAAAAAGCATTACACTATCATGATCGTTCATCTCTTGTGATGTTCAACAAAGCTAAATGGTAAACTTTGAATAAATACCAGGTTCCTCTTACTGCATAAGTTATCATGAAGATATATATAGAATAAAGAGGCAGAAAGAAGAAACCTTTCTCGACAAAGTGCCTACAAAAATATTTGTATAATAGATTGAGGATTGCTGTGTCTAAGACTTTAAAAATCTGGTTATGTTAGCCACGTGTTACCAGTCTTAAACATAGTGACTACTAATCGACATGTTCATGGACAAGTCCTGTCTTTCTACAATTGTATACATTTTTTGATCTTTAAGCATCACTGGTGCAGGATATACAATGTGCAGTTAATCGAAATCTTTTACTTCCCGTAAAGGGCTCGTTTAAAATATAGAAGTGTGTACATGGATGCCACAGCAACTTAACGAGATAAGCTTCACACTGTGAATCATATAAATATGATTATATAATAAAAAATAACTTATATGCTACAAAATGTCTTCCCGTCAAAATATTTCAAGGCCATTAAAAAAATATCCATTATATGACATAGTCAATTTTCTTCTTTTTCTCTGTTATTTTTTTATCTTTTCTTTTTTTTCTGAACTGTACTTTGTAAATCTGTTTCTCGCTATCAGCGACATTGATGTAAGATCCAAACCATATTAACTTCACATACTATCCATATATGCAGGCTAAAGCTACATTGGTCACTAAGTAGAAGAACGGAACACGGCTGAGAATTAACCATATGCGCAACGTTCGTCCACAGCATAAAGAAATTGTCTTTTGTATCTATATAATATCTATATTCTATAGAACATTTATCTCATCATTATATATCTTATTAAGCGCGCTTATGTTTACATGAAAATCTTGTGTAAAACAATCTCAAAATAATAAAATTAAAAAAAAAACAGAATTAATTAAATGTACACTTTAATATTTTGATCTTTAGCGTCATTTCTTTCATAGTGTCACTACATAATGCAAGTACTTGCAAGTATATATGGACTCACATAATTATTATCAATATTATTATAATTCATGATGGACCAAAGTTCTCGCACACAATGTGCTATATTTTATTCGATTTTTAACGTACCCCTCTGGTAACGTGGCTTTTATATTTTATTTCAAAATGTGCCCTGATAAATTACAAAGTATAGTATATTGAATAATCTAATTAACACCACATATCTTTGCTAATAAAACGAAAAGGCTCTGATATATAAATACAAATTCAGATAGGAAACATATTAATAAGAGGCGCAGAAATTAAGCGCAACTTATTTTTAAATTCTTCTTTAAACGTTACTTTCGTCATAATTTCTGCGGAGGAATAAACGATGGTCTGTTACTCGCAACCAAGAATTAGTATCTCTAACTCTAATCATTCGAGCTATTTCTAATAAATAAAAATAATTTTAATAAAAAAATTATCCGTGTTTTTTCATTTATAATTAGTGTAGTAAAAAATGTTATGATATTACAAAGTTTAAAAAAGAAATTATACGAGAAACGATATATTTTGATTTTGAAAAATATCATATGTTTGATTTAAATTTCTTTATAGCAATAATATTCTTTCTTTATTATCAAGGCGATGAAATTTCGAGATGAGATAAAATTTCTCATTTCAGAATTTTAAATAATATAATCTCTGTATACATCTCTTATCTGTACCTCGTTTAAAATAGTTTTGAAATGTGTTTAATTTCTACTCCACACTAATCATGTTTCATAAATGGAATTCACTATATCAGTTGCTTATGCCTAAACGGCATATTGTCCCTTTGTCATTTTTCTCTCGCAGAAATGCTGTGTATTAAATTGAATCAATGGACTTGTAAATGGACGCGTATTTCAATTTTTAGTCCAGATAATGAACAAAATTACATAAATCTGAATTTAGTTGTTTAAATTTACATAATGTATTATCCTAAAAAAAGAAAATTTTATAAAAAAATACTACAACTAAATTTACTATAATTAAATATACTACAACTAAATATTATAACTAAAAATATTATAATGTAAAATACTAAAAATACTAAAAATAATAATCCTACGATCCGAGTATCCCGTTTGTGAACTATTCTCCGGATAGTGGCTACGAATCTTCGCCTCGATCTTCAAAAAAAAATTTGATTCATTAAATTTCTTATGAATACATTTATGAACCAATCAAGATTCTTATGCTTACGCTTCTGCGTCTATGCAAAAGTATGTACTCCCCACTTACTACGCGATTTTGGTACAAAGCGAAAATCTTTACTTTTACTGATAAAGCAAGAGGTATCAACTCGGTCTATAATTCACATGTTTTTGTAATTATGTTGTTTTGTATTTTGTAGGGTATTTTTTTACCTCGCATATATTGTGAATATCAATTCGGTCTAACATTCACATGTCCTTGTATTTGCGTTGTTGCATTTAAATTTGCACAAGTATAGTTTGTATGAGTATTCGCAGCAAACTTCAACACAAAACTTTTATTCTCCGAATAGTGGCTACGAACCTTCGCCTCAATCTTCAACGCGAGACTTTAATTCTCCAATTAGTGACTACGAACCTTCGCCTCAATCTTCAACACGAAACTTTTATTCTCCGAATAGTGGATCTACGCTTCAATCTTCAACGCAAAACTTTCATCCTCCGAATAGTGGATCTACGCTTCAATCTTCAACGCAAAACTTTCATCCTCCGAATAGTGGCTACAAACTTTCGCCTCAATCTTCAACGCGTGACTTTTATTCTTCAATTAGTGACTACGAACCTTCGCCTCAATCTTCAACACGAAACTTTTATTCTCCGATTAGTGACTACGAACCTTCACCTCGACCTTCAACACGAAACTTTCATTCTCCGGATAATAACCTCGAGTCTTTGTGTCAACACAGAACTTCTTTCGGAATAGTCAAACAGACCACAACTATCAAGTTCAAGTTGAGAATAATTCCGCTCAAGTCTCATTAAATGTCAAGCTGAAACTCAGCGCTCAGCGCAGTAGTAGTACTGGCTTCCGCCGACCCTCTGAGTTTTTTAGTTTTATCGAGAAAACTCAAGTTTCTAATATGTGAAATGCTTATTATCATTTACATATAAATTAATAATGATATACTGTATGTTCTGTGATAAGACTACTATAATTACTGCAATTATGTGTCCCTTCAGATTTCCTCACAATTTTAGCAATTATTTACTTGTTATACAATATACGGTCATAACTTTCATTTTTTAAATTTTTAGACACTATTGTGTATTTTGTGTAAGAACTGTAAATGCGTAAATTTCTATATACAGGGTGTCCCAGACCTACCGTATAACACGTTAATGGGAGATTCCTGAGGCGATTTAGAGACGATTTTTCCTCAACAAAAATGTCCAGGCACCAATAATTTTTGAGTTAAAAATAATTGAAAATAAAAGCCTCTTTGTAAACTAAGCATTGTAAAAATAAATTATTAACAAAACTACATTTTTTAGTTAATTTCAGGTAAAGTTTACTTTAATAGAATTTTAATTTAAGGCTTAGTTACAAAGATACATGATTTCAAAAATTGGGAACATTAAAAAAATGATAACCTTTCTCGACATTTTCGCTGTTATACGGTTAACGTGTTATACGGTAGGTCTGGGACACCCTGTAAAAGAAAAATCTCTTTTAGAAAGTAATATAATAATCAATGAGCATATAATTTCGATTTTACGGATGATGCTAAATTCATGTTCCTTGAACGCACTACCAATACTTTAAATTAAATATAATGTAGCAAAATTGATACATATAGAGAATACATTTGTTGGATCACATAGTGCGTCAAAAATTAAAGAAATTTAATTGTAATTATGGAAATGTAGTTAAAGCATTTTCTTTGTATAGAAATCTGTACAAAGATAGTGAATTCGCTAAGATGCACTTTCCTTTTTTTTTTAATTACGTTCATATATTTAATAAGAATATATAGAAATTTAATCATCCTACTTCTGTAAGGGACGATGCATTATTTACGTACGAGTATGCGTTCTGTGCAGTTTATCAATTTTTGGTCTGCATATTCTTATACTTCCTACAAGTAATATACAAATAAAGCAGAAATAGATCTTAGAGTCACCTAACTTAGACATAATTTTCTGTAATCATCAAAATAAACGATTCAGGTTGCTAATAAAAATGAGATATATAAAAAGGAGTAGTAAGAGTCGAGCATTAGATATTAGGTACAAAATTTATTTAAAAATTTTTCTTTATTTTGAACGTTTTGATCCTTTGAACCATTCTCATTATATCAGAGTGGAAAAGGTAAGAGGTTCATTGTGGAGGACATCCTGACCTCCACAATAAACAAATAATACTGCTGCTGCTTATTGTCCAGTGCTATTTGTTTATTGCAAAGATCAGGACGTTCACTCCTTTGTTCTCCTCTCTGTCCTTGATATGCAGAAGATGATCCAAAGGAAAAACTAAGACGTTTAAATAAATAAAGAAGAATTTAAAAACAAATTTGTTTCTCATTTCCTGTGCCTATCCTATTAACTTCTTTTCTATCTGAATTTGTGTGTATATATATATATATATTATATATATATATATCTTTGTAATTCTTAAAAAAAATTGAAAAATAGTCCATAAGGACACTGAATTCAACATAAACATGATATAAGGCATATGAATTTTTCAACTTAATGCTGTGTCCGAACTTTTACATATGGTATCTTTTTATATACAAGGAGTGGAGCTGTTCAAGACACACAAATTATATCTCTATCACGTATACACGATCGACGATAGCATAAAAATGCAGAAATACATTTATATGCTGTAAATATAAAAAGTCTTGTAAATCAACGCACAAAATATATCGTTGTGCCGTGAAAGAATAATGAAATGCAAACTGAAAGAAAAAAATAATAGTAATATAAAATATAAATAAAAATTCTCTGTGCAAGATAATTAAAAGTATATTTCCGAAACGCGGTCTGGAACAGCTCTAGTGATGAGGCGATAAAAAATTTGTTCGATTCAAAACTGAAGTCTAAAAACTCACTACTTCTTTGTACAGCACTACGGTAGGCTGGAATTTAGGCTCTCCGGCAAACGATAATTCATCATATGATACGGTGGACTGGCCGGACTACCCGGTTGACTGTTCATTCCGAGATTGCTGGAGCCACGACCGCGTTTTCGCCTCTGCAGGATCCCCTTTCTGACCATATAGAATCGAATTGTGCTGATCGGTATCTTGTACTTTTCCGAGGCTACTTGAAATGTCATGCCGCGCGACACCATGTCCGAAGCTAGCTTGAGTTCTTCTTCGGAACGTCTTTGTCGTCTCTGATAACCTTTAAAGATATACGCAAGAGATGTTATTACATCTAACTTACACGAACGCGATAAATACCCATACTTATGAATAAGAGATAAAGCTGCTCACCTTCGATTGCGGGAAAAGGGCTGCTAGGATTGCAATTACTACTGGGTACCATACTAATGGAATACGGTTTGACAGTTTCAGACTGCTGAGAGAACTGCTCGTCCGGTTCCATTTTCACCATGCCCGGAGTTTCAGTGAGAGTCGCCTCGCAAGCACTTAAAGCCTTCTCTAGGTGTTGCAATGCTTCGCTATGTTCCATGTTTACAAAGTTAGAAGGATTAGGATTGTGTGATACAGGGGTAATGGTGGACGAATTGTTTCCTGTGCTAGTTGCGGCCATTGTCGGGCATGTGAGGAAGTCAGAGGTACTTCCATCATTAGATGAAGTATTATCTTTGAAATTAGTAGTGTCATTTTGTGGAGTTGGTGTAGACGGGGTGACAGGTGCGTTAGAATCACACGATTGTGTATTGCTCTCATTCGACGAGTTATCGCATCCCTGAGTAGATAAGCCACGAACCTATTAAGAAATATATATGAGTAAAAATGACATTTCTTTGCGTAAAGGTATGAAATTAAATCTAGTCCCACAGTTCCTAAGTATTAACACTTTGTATACAAGTTTTACAAAAATGAAACAAAAAGGAGTAAATAATATAAAGAATTCAAAAAAGAAAAATAACCTGTTTGCTAAAGATTAGTGATTAGGTAGATGAGTAACAGATGTTTGTAAAACCATGTACCTGCAAAACTTCTGCCGCTTGCATCAATGTAGCAAGTTGCTGTTGCTCGACATATACTTCCCCACGGTACATAAATTCAACCAAAGCTTGAAGTTCCCACATCTTCATGTCCCTCAAGAAGATAACGGGATGAGTACATGGTATCTCTAACAATAAACGTTCCAAATAGTCGCTGCAGGCAGACAGTACGACTTTGTGACACTTTATCGACCCTCCGTCGCAAGCCAGAGTCACATCCACAAACTGCTCCGAGCTCAGCAACTTTGGAAACGCACTGTGCATGTTGGACTGGTGGGAATTCCAAGAGACACAGAACTGCTGGCGATCACCTCCAGGATAATTGCCCGCATTGGGCAAGTTACTCCCGGATTCCATGACTGCAGTTCAATGATAGACAAATCGCCTGTCAAAAACAAGACATTTCATTGAATTCTAACGTCACACCTTTAAAATCACTAAAAAAAAAAAAAAAAGTCATATTCTAATTAAAATTAAACGGTAAAAAAAGTAAAGATTCTTGAAATAATATCTACATAAATCCTTTGTATCTTTCGAGCAATAGGGGAATGTAAAAGGTTTATATATAACAAAGAGACGCCACACTCTGCGTTAACTTCGAACGGAGAAGAAACGCATCCATTATTGCGATCGCGGCAGGAAGGACACTTCTTCGCGAGAGAATGTCTATTTTGGACACGTAATTAATGAAACAAATAATAAATTCCACCGTCTCGGCGTTCGATTTGCCGGAACTTTTTCGAACGAAAACGCTTTATTTCAATTACGACGGAAAGAACTCACAATTACTTTTTTCACAAGCTTCCACACACCAGATCACCTGCGTGCGAAATGGGGTACGTCATCGAAACAAAGACAAAGGGGGGTCTCGCGGGATCGATCGGATCGGCGATTCGAAAATCGTTCGCGAGTACTCTTGAAAAATCCTGCGTCGCTTCTCTCCCTAGTAAAATCCCACGAGACAAAAGAGCGTTAGGTTAAACTAACGAGAGAAACACGATGGAGTTAAAAAAAAAAAATTTACAATATGGCGATCTGGTATATAACTCCGGTAACAACAATATCGCGTATATCCGAGGGGAACCCACACACTCTCGCACACACACACACACATATATATATATATATATATATATATATATATATATATATGTATATATGTATAAAAGTACACTCCCCGACGCACTAAAATTCACACGAAATTAAATTCCCGCGGCGACGCATCGGGGAATTTCCCGGACGAGCGATTCGATTTTTGAACGTTACCGCGATCGAGCGTAGCGTCGTCAGATCGATCGACAATCGGGCGGGGGAGGGAAAGAAAGGGGGGTGGGGTGGGGGGAGGATGGCGGTCGATTTTTTTTTTTTTTTTTTCGGTCTCTCTTGACAGTCCTGTGACGCGACGAAGACCGGGAGCCGGATGACGGACGAATGCGATATATAAAGCGGGAGGTGACGAGAAAAAAAAAAAAAAAAAAGAGGAACTCGCTCGAACTTCTGAATGATCGCCGGCAACAAATGTCCCCGTCACGTGTGTGTGTGTGTGTGTGTCGGCGTCGAAATCGAGAGGGACGAGTTTAATGTCGGCTGTTTCCCAGTGACGGGAATAAAAACGGGATCCCTCTCTCTGTCTGTCTCTCCTTCCTCATCGCTCCGTCTCTCCCGCTCCGCGGGAGAGACGACGCGACGTCACCCCCCACAGGAACGCCTCCGGGCTCTTATAAATTTCACCATTCGTTCATACGTACGAGATGATAATATATCGTATGTGTTTGTACCGCGTCGGTTTCTCTCTCTCTCTCTCTCTCTCTCTTCCTCGTTTCTTCTTCGCGCGCTCTTGGGAAGCGTCGTGTCGCGGCCTCCTGGAGGAACGACGATGCACAAAGATACGGAGATTCTCCGACCCGGTCGGGGAGCCGAATTGCGATCGCACTTCGCGAGGAGTCTCTCCCGGAGCGCGGCGTCTCGCGGAATATCGCGTCGCTCGTGGGAAGAATCCCTTAAGAAAACATTCGGCCGCCGCGAGATTTGCACTATATAGACGGGGGAGAGAGTCGCGGCCGGAAGAGGGGTGGGGGGCACCGAGAGACGGGGTGAGAAAGCGCGGGGGGGGAGGGAGAAGGGGTACGGTACGGCTCTCGCGTTGGTCGACTCCTCTTTCTCTTCTGTCACTCGTATGTGTGCGTGAGTGCACGTATGTGTTCGTACGTGTGTGCACGAGGAGACGCTAGACTCCGGATTCCGGACGGATAGAGAAAGAGAGAGAGAGAGAGAGCGAGCGAAAGAGAAAAGGTGGATTTTGACAGGTGGACGAATCGCGAATCCGCCGAAAGCCGGCACCGTCCGCGAAGTTGATCGATACTTACTCGACGGAGTTGCGTTACCGATGTCGACGAGCTTTTAACCGCACTTACACACCGCTCTATCATAAACTATCGCTAGAACTAAGTCCGCGTCGGCACACATTCACCGCGCATTGCCCCCTGCGCAAGCTTTAGTGTCGAACTTATCCGTTGTTGGGTCGCGAAAGTTCCTAAGAGGGGTTCCTCTTCATTTCTTCTCATTCACTCTCTTTCGCTTTCTCGAACGCGGATGACGTATAATTATCGTAGTTCTATTCGCGTGCGATTTATATCGCGATTGTTCATTTTTGACAGCCACGTGTGCGCGAACTGTCAACGAGAATGAAATGACAGTTGAGGTCGAGTAGACGCCTCGGAGCGTTCGCGTCGACCAATCAGGACGAGGATCCTCGTTTGTCCCGCTGTGATTGGTCGAAGCGCTCGCAGCGCCATCTTTAGCGTGGTTTCATAAAAATTGATTTGAGTAGCTCGCATTTGTGCGACTAAGGTTAGGTTTCTATTGAGTGCACTTTCCACGGTTGTTCGTACTTGTCTCGTTTTTCATGCGTTCGTATAAAAAATAAATAAAAAAAAAAAACAAATAAACAACAAAAAGGCTGTAGGATAATAGAATTCGAGGAAATGAAATATAATTGAATCATGAGGAAGACGGAATTTTTAATTGTGGTATATGATAAAAAATCGGACGAACGCGGTATGTTTCTTCAATTAAGCGCGCCGCATAACAAAAATTTTTCTTTAAATTTCTTTGATATTACGAAGAAAATTTTTTGTCGCACTTTAATAAGTGCGAAAATCAAAATCACGTCTTCTAATTGGTTATTCCTCATTATTTTTTTATCACTATCCTTATCCTTTTTTAAATTATAATTACAGTTAAAGGAATAATATCAGATATTGAAAGCTGAAAGTAAAAATTGTAGGTTAATTCTGTGGATATTTTTTCCGTCTATAATATAAAGATTTAAATTTTGTAATGACAATTCGATTTTTTAACGATACGAAAATTTATGAGTAGGATAGATTTTATATTATGTATGAAATAATCTGATTTTTCAAATTTATAGGTAACGCATTGATATTTTATGATTCTACAATTATTATTGTCAACTAACTATCGCGAGGATGTCGAAGATAACGGGCTACGATACACACGACGACGGACCAGGATTCGTGGGTATTCGATTTTGCCAGGAGTGTAATAATATGTTGTATCCGAAAGAGGATAAAGAGAATAAGGTGCTCATGTATGCGGTAAGTATGAGTGTGTATTGCAACTGTTTTCAGTAATAAATTCTGTTTTGTTAGTTGTAACTGTTTCTCCCCATTCAAACAAAAAACAACTTTGAATTATATTATCATATATATGAAATGAGAAAAAGATTTATAGTGTATAAGAAATTGTTTTGTTCTCATTTCAGTGCAGAAATTGTGATTTTAAGCAACTGGCGGACAGCAATTGTATTTATGTGAACAAGATCATGCACGAAATAGAGTAAGTTGAAAATATGTTAAAAAAATTAATACTTATATAAATATGTTAAGAAACAATTTTTAGTAGTTTGCACGTGCAAAGAAGTATATCATTTTGTGCATAAATATGCTTATTATACAAAATGATATGCTTTAAATGTGACACAAGTCCTAAGCTTATTAATTCATAAACTTGTAGATTTAAATATATGTAATTTTAAATTTGAAGATGTATGTGCTAATCTCAAGTAAGAGTTATCACTGATTTATTTTAATCTCTTGTTTTAGTGAGCTGACACACATCGTCGCTGATGTAATATCGGACCCTACATTGCCAAGAACCGAAGAACATCCATGCCCAAAATGCAATCACAGAGAAGCTGTATTTTTCCAGGCCCAAACTAGACGGGCTGAGGAGGAAATGAGATTATATTATGTGTGTACGAATCAACATTGCTCCCACAGATGGACAGAATAAATAATACATATATGTATAATCATCCAATGTACATCCTCCCTTTGTATATGCGTAACTTAATTATTAAATCGATAAATCACATGTAAAATTGTAAAGACGATAAGATGCATTGTAATGGTGTATATAATAAAAATCTAAAAAAAATTAGATAAACGTTCGTGCAAGAATACAACAAATTACCGTAAAACTCGCGATCTCTATTCTCTCTCTGAGCATTTATCCCGTCACTTTAGTATGCGATTAGCTTTACAAATCGAATCTCTTTAGCCTCTCGGCGTTACAAAGCTACGTCGTGCAGTCGCGGCACATCTTTCTACGCTTGGCTGTTATCGTGACCTTTCGCGAGAGACCAAAATTTTGGATGACATTTCGAGTGTTAGGAACTTTTCAACTAATGCGAAATGATTTTCGTCAGATTTATCTTGCCAATTCGATCATCATGAAAGAAGAATCGTGCTGTGAATTCGCGGTTGTAAAGCTAACGTCTGGAAGACACCTGGGATTACTCCCAGCTGTTTATCTAGGCCATACTCGGCCATCGGCCATACTGATTTCGCCGAGCTCAAAACTCAATCGCCAGTCTCGTCCAAAGTCACGTGACCGCTAATGTCATCTCTATCGTTATATGAACTGTATTTATGTAGTTATACTTATTGACATTTATACTGTATGTACATGTGTCATAAATTCATGCAATATATGTACACATTCATATAAATATAAATTATCAACTTAAGCGCAATCTTGAATGATTAGATAATTCGCAGAAATGTAATAAACACGCTGCCAGAAATCCTTAACATTCATTAAAATTTAAAATTATGATGAAGCAGCATATAACATTGTTAATACTTGGAGTATTGGTACTCAAACATGGGGCTTTTCTTGAAGTACATGTTCCACGTATTGGTAAGAGTTAATTTAGCATTTAATATTTTATAAAAGATTTATATGAGTTTAATGTACCTGTCTGGAATTTAATTTCTCCTCTTCTAATCAGCTGTTATAGGAGGTGGCATCGGTGGTGCTTCTGCCTTGCATTTCCTCTCAGAGTTGTTCAATGGAAGTTTGGAGATTGACTTGTATGAAGCAAAAACTATCGGTGGACGACTGGCAACTGTAAAAATTAATGACGATGAAGTCGAAGCTGGTGGTTCAATTATACATCCTAAGAACATGTATATGCAAAAGTTTGTCAAACTTATGGGTAAGTGCAAATTTCTTTTTAGATACAATTTAATTATTAACAGTTAGCTTATACAAACAATGCTACTAATAAATTTTTGGGTATATTTCAGGTTTAAAACCTAATTTTCCCAGTGAACAAAAATATGGTATATGGAATGGAGTTGAATTTGTTTATAAGGAAAGCACATGGCAGATTGTATCACTAGCAAAGTTATTTTACAGATATGGTTTTCAAATGTATAAACTTACAAGGTACTGTAAAATTGTGTGCCAAGACAAACTAAAAAAAGTAAAATATTTTATTACATTTTCTTTGGACAGTTATGTAGGTGACATAGTAGAAGATTTTGGAAATATATATGATCTGCAGGATAATGGAAAGTCTTTTGCCAATGTTACTGCTCTGCTAGCAGCTATGAATAAGGAATTCCCGCGATTATTGCAAATGTCTGTGAAAGATCATCTTTTACATATGGGTTTCACAGAAAGACTAATCGATGAAATAGTGCAAGCTACTACGGTAGTAAATTATGGTCAGGATGTCGATATTCAGAGTTTTGTAGGTTTAATATCCGTAGCTGGAGCAGCTGTTGATCTATGGTCTGTTGAAGGTGGAAATAAAAGAGTAAATATTATTAAATTGTTATTTTGTTACACTATATATCTCGGTTATAATTGTAAAACATGTTCTAAAAAATTTTAGGTACCGGAACGTCTCATTGATAAAAATGAATATGTAAATGTAATACGAAGCCGTGTTACAAAAATTCGCAACATAGCAGACAATGATAATTTAAAGCAATACGAAGTGACCTATATAAATAAAGGTGAGTATAAAATCGAATTAACAAATGCTGAATTAAATAATTAACTAAATTACATAATGTACATACATTATATTTCAGATAGCACAGATTCAATGACATCTAATTATGATATTGTAATTATTGCTACCCCACTTACACACGACCAAGAATTTCCAATAGAATTCGTCGATTTTCCAGATAATTTAGTATTTCCAGGAGACTATCAAACGACATATGCAACATTTGTTGATGGGGATCTTAATCCAAAGTATTTTGACTTGCAAGAAACTCTAGATGCTATTCTAAGTTGTAATCCCAACAAAACAAAAATTAGCTCAATTGGAAAAGTTGATTCTGTGTATGGATCAACCAAGAAAAATTCGCGAATCTGGAAAATCTTTAGCAGGAAATCTATATCATCTCTTATACACAATATGTTTTATAATGTATGCAACAATTATTTTATGAGTAAAGAGGATATATATTTTAATGTAATTGATTATTTTTTTTTCTTTTATCACAAGGTCACTGAAAAAAGAGAAATTGCTTGGAAAGCATATCCCCGATACTCAACAATAAATGTACTCGATAAATTCAAGCTACATGATGCGCTATATCATGTCAATGCAATTGAATGGGCTGGCAGTGCAATGGAAATAAGTGCAGTAGCTGGAAGAAACGTCGCTATCTTGGCACATGATGATTTTATCCAAAAATACAACCTTACCTCAAATAAAGAGGTTTATGAAGATTCAACAAGAAAAATAGAATTATAATATTAAATATATATATATATATATATATATATATATATATAGTTATTAACTATTAAAAATATATTTTGGAAATTATTTTTGTATCACAGTAAAGTTATAAAACTGAAATAAAACATCAAGGATGAAGAATTTAAAGAAACATTAAATTTGTTGAGTAAACATAATTTGTCTATTAATAATTCCTAGAGAATCTCTGCTCTCAAAAAGAAAATTTATGAATATATAATTAATATTTATCTGTTTATCATTAATAAAGAAATTGTAATATTAAAATTTATACTGACAACCACATACATTTTTTTCGAGTAAAATCATATATGTTACATCACAATGATCACGTTTCTTTCCCAGTTGAGCAATCGCGCGCTCGGCCGACTGACAGAAAAATGACAGAATGGTTTCGCCGGTAAATTCATCGTATGGTTCGCGACCTTGTAAGGTGACAGCGTATGCAAATTATTACGCGATAATGCAATGACAGGCGGATTCTGCATTTCTATTTTGCATAGAAAAAGCAATTACATAGATCGAAGATTAGTAAAAAGACGGAGTTGAAGCGAGAAAAAGCAGTCCCGCTTTCAGGGACGAAAAATCGTAAGAAAAGGAAGAAAAAAGAGAGGAGAATGCAACGTTATTTATTATTGTGAGGCGAGGAATAAGCATTCCAGCCGGCTAAACGCTGCCGATCCGGTTGATTATCGTATGTCGCGAACCACGGACACGGTTCGATAATCTAACCTGCGAAACGCCTGATTGCCGCCCGAGGGAAAAAGTTTCCGCAGCGAACCGACGTAAAAATGTGATTTTTCGCTCGCGCAAGCCTCTCGTGATCCTCGCGTTTTCGCGAGGAAGTGAGAAGAGAAAAGCGCGATGGAGAATTACTCCGTGCGCATCAATTACCCGCAGACCGCGCGTAGTGGAGACCCCGGCGAGGACACGTCGTCCACGTCGCACGACACCTGTCAGCCGAAGCAGTACACGGATCACGGGAGAAAGCGGGAGGACGTGATCGTTTTGACAAGTGACACGAAGGGCGGCCTGTTCAATCCCAGAGCGCTCCTCTTCCTCACCCTGTGGTATGTCTTCAGCGGATGTACCCTGTTTCTAAACAAGTACATACTGTCCTATATGGAGGGTGACCCCACTATTCTGGGTAAGCGATCATTCTCTAGAACACAACTGTCAATCTATCGTATCATTCATAATCTATCTTATATATCTATAATTATTATACATATCCTTAATCGTTTTGCTGGTTTGAAAACACAGGTGCTTGTCAGATGTTGATGACCGCAATTTGTGGACTAATACAAATGTATTTTCCCTGTGGTATGTACAAAGCAAGTCCAAGATTAATGAGGCCCCCTGGATTTTACAAACACATGACACTGGTAGGATGCACGAGGTTTGCAACGGTAGTTCTGGGTCTAGTATCGTTAAATTATGTAGCTGTAAGTTTCACAGAAACTATAAAGAGTAGCGCACCACTTTTTACCGTCCTCATCAGTAGATATTTATTAGGTAAGAATATATAAATCTGTTTACACTGTCCTTATACATATATAATAAAAATTCAATCTTAATTTTTAATAATTAATTGATTAATATTCATTAAATTTTTTTTAGGGGAACACACGGGGTTGTATGTAAATTTATCTTTAATACCTGTAATGGGTGGATTGGCGTTATGTTCCATCAATGAAATCAGTTTTGATCTTAGAGGATTTATTGCCGCTATGGCGACAAATGTAACTGAATGCTTGCAAAATGTGTATTCGAAAATGTTAATCAGTGGTGACAATTTTAAATACACGTAAGTGACATCGATTATATGGTTTGAGTGTGTGAAATTGTTGTAAACTGTAAAAAGGAGAAAAAAATATTATTTTTAGACCAGCAGAATTACAGTTTTATACCAGTTTAGCGTCAATCGTCGTACAAATACCAGTATCGATATTATTGGTCGATCTACCTACACTCGAGCATTCCCTGAGCTTTAAATTATTCGCGGCATTCCTTCTCAACGGAGTGTTCTTCCATTTTCAAAGTATCACTGCTTATGTACTTATGGACTATATCAGCCCGGTAACACACAGGTATGTAAATATTTTTTATCTGTGTATTAAAAATGTATTCCTCATACACACATGATTTTAAAGTAGAAAATTCTATTGTAGTGTTGCTAATACCGCAAAGAGAGCATTTTTAATATGGCTCTCCGTTTTATTATTTAATAATCCGGTGACGGGATTATCGGCGCTCGGCACTTCCTCAGTTATAGCGGGAGTGTTGCTGTACAATCGGGCGCAAGAATACGACAAGATGAATAGAACAAAGTTACGACACTCGTCGAAGATCAATTTACAGTAAGACAAGTTTTCAAACCAGGACAAGACGAGCATCTATACATGTGAAGAAAGAAATGTGTGTTATCGCACCAAATCTATTGCATATTCATAGTACAAATAATATCCCGAATTTTTATACAGCAGTATTTCATTCAAGAATGTGGGATAATATACATTACAAGCATCAGAAATATGTTAAGAAATGCTCAATCGAAAATTATGTTTATCAAATCTATCAATTTTTTTGCTGTTTATAATTTCTATGATCTAAAAATGTTGTTCTAAAAGAATAATAAAATTATTGTTTTTGAACTTAAGATATTTGCACATATTTAAATATGCCTGATGCAAGTACATAAAAACCCAAAAGAAATTGGAATGAGTAATGTACATGTGTCAAAAAGTATTTGATTATTGTATTATATTTCTAATGTAAATTTGAGAGAGTGGTGGAATGTAAAAATGTTTGATAAAAATAAAATCTCTTTATATACAATACTTGTAGATAGTATTTGTAGGTCTATGAAAATGCCTGATGTGTAGAGGTTTACGATATCAACTGTATATCACCAGAATTAATATATACATACATATGAATAAGAATATTCATTATTATTCTTTTTGTACTTATCTAAGTATTACGTTTGCTAATTCATTGACAAGCAGCTAATGCCTGTGCAAGATCAGCTATGAGATCTTTCTCTGTTTCGAGACCAACAGATAACCTGATTAATTTATCTGTTATGCCTAATGTCGCGCGTTCAGCTTCAGGCACAGATGCATGGGTCATAACAGATCTATGTGATAAAAATTTATTAATATACCTATAAATATTTAATACCAATTAATTGTGTGTACTTACGGTAATTCAGCTAGCGATTCATAGCCTCCTAACGATTCGGCTAAAGTAAAGACTTTTAATGCTTTGAAAAACTTTTTTACATCGCCCTTTATGTAAAAGGAAACCATTCCGCTGTGACCTGTTGTTTGCTTAAGCGTCAGTTCATACTGGGGATGTGATGGAAGATCTGCAACACATGCTTTATTTTAGATATGTTATCATACACTGTTAAACATTAAAGCATTAATTATTGCAACAGAGATAAGGGAAAAAATAATGCATATAAACATACATGGATGAAATACTCGTTCAACGCAAGGATGAGACTCCAGAAACTTTGCCACAGCTAGGCAGTTTTTCATATGCTGTTTCATCCTCAGTTCCAATGTCTTTAAGCTACGGTTGACCAAAGAGCAGTCAAAAGGTGATGGAACAATACCCATGGCTGAATTCCAAGAAAATATACAAAATACATATTATTCCAAATACGATTTAAAAAGTTTTTGTTGGCTTACCATTTTGTAAAAATCTTAATCTTTCCGCGAGATCATCTCGGCGAGTTATCGCAGAGCCCATAATTACATCGGAGTGACCGTTGATATACTTGGTCATTGAATACATCACTATATCGACACCAAATTCTAATGGCTTTTGAAAATAACATGTTAAAAATGTATTGTCGACGACGATAATTATGTCTTGACGATGAGGCTTTACGCTATTAACGATGGCTTTAATATCGGTAACTTTCAGTAAAGGATTTGTTGGCGATTCCAGCCATATCATCTGTAAAATATAAAATATATAATAAAATCATATATTAAAAATTAAAATAATGTGGTTAAAATATTATTCAATTCCAACGAAGTAACTCTAAATAATATTTATCTAACCTTTGTGTTTGGTTTTATGGCGCTTGTGAGGTTCTCTATTTTAGTCATGTCTACGAAAGAATATGTGATGCCTTGAGTGCTTAAACATTTTTGAATAAGACGGTTAGTCCCACCATAGAGATCATCTCCAGCAATGAGATGATCTCCTGTTTGCAACAAAGCTGTAATTGCAGTCGTTGCACCTAAGCCAGATGCAAATGTAATACCATGTTTGCCATCTTCTAGAGCAGCAAGGCATGCCTCCAGTACATTGCGTGTTGGATTGCCACTCCTACCATACTCAAAGCCCTATATCAACATTAAAATTCTGTTAAATACATATGCATTATATATAGTTTCTTTAATAATATTTAAATTTAAATTTGTTTTTGAATTAAAAAATTCTCTGTCTAACATTTTACAAATATAAAACTTTTAAAAGTTTTTTATTAAAGAACTTTGAATAAGTAAAGATTCCATGCTAAAACAACTGAAAAAGAATTGTTATGTGATTATGAAAAAATTACTACTATTGTTCATTAATCTCAAGATCAGAATAATGTTTAAAATGATCTTAAACTGTATTAAGTATCTGTCTTGAAAATATATCTATTTGTATTTGTCGCTACTAGATTATTTAGATTTTTTAATAATTACGTGATCATTATTCTCTCATTTTTCTTTTTTAATTTAACAAATAATAACGATTTTAAAAGAAAAATATAATTAATTTTTTCTTGTTAATTTATATATAAATTTTAATTTTATTAATGTAGAACTTAACGTGCACACAGTTTGTTAGCTATACAGTGATCAATTAAGATTGATGGAATAAATAGAACAATTACCAAATCAATTATAAGCTATGCTAGAGTAAGAGATAAATAATTTTAATGAATCATGCATATATTTTGAACTTACTCTGTGCTGAGCTGGAGCATCCTGCTCAAATGTTGTCGACATTACCAAAGGTGGCACAACTGCACCATGGTTCCATTGTTGCGGGCTTTGACCAGCATGAATAGCTTTAGTAGCAAAACCTTGTGTTTCAAATTCTCTTGTTGAATTCATGATCTGTTTAAAAATTTTATTACAATAGATAGCTCATTAGTTATGCCTTGCTCTTCTTACATTATATAAAAAATTATTAATATTAATATACATAAAATTGTAATACATGTTTATATATGATGCAACATATGCAATGAAGCAGAAATATGATAATCTCTGACAATGAGAAATTTAAAGTTATACAGGGTAGGCCATTTTAATCTTTCCACTAAAATTTCTCAAAATCCAAAAATTTAAGACAAAAATGTTTCAGATAAAAGTTGTATGGTTTCAAGGGGGACATGAGATGGTGTCATTGATTTGACCTTGAATAGCCATTTGAAGGTTACGTGAAGGTCAACTTCAATTTCTTAAATGGAACACTATATTTTTTCTTGCATACTTTTGTAGCTGACTTCGAGATCTTTCCAAAACACTACAATAAAATATTTTTTCATGAAGTATTTTTCGAGTTATTAAGGCTGCAAATTTGCAGTATTTTGACATAAAATACAAAATATCTTGGGAAATATTCATTTTTCGATTATCATACCTTAATACTTTTATGCACAGAATAATGAGATAAATCAGTTGATGTAAAGAAAACACATAGTTACCTTTAAAAAAAATATGAAAATTGCAATAAGCAGTTAGATAATTTTTCTTTAAGACAACTATGTGTTTTCTTTACACCAATTGATTCGTCTCATTATTCTGTGCATAAAAGTATTAAGGTATGATAATCGAAAAATGAATATTTCCCAAGATATTTTGTATTTTATGTCAAAATACTGCAAATTTGCAGCCTTAATAACTCGAAAAATACTTCATGAAAAAATATTTTATTGTAGTGTTTTGGAAAGATCTCGAAGTCAGCTACAAAAGTATGCAAGAAAAAATATAGTGTTCCATTTAAGAAATTGAAGTTGACCTTCACGTAACCTTCAAATGGCTATTCAAGGTCAAATCAATGACACCATCTCATGTCCCCCTTGAAACCATACAACTTTTATCTGAAACATTTTTGTCTTAAATTTTTGGATTTTGAGAAATTTTAGTGGAAAGATTAAAATGGCCTACCCTGTATATACTCAACACAAACAATTTGTATAAACAGTTTTATACTACATTGAAAATTCAAATTAGAAAATTAATGATTTTTTTTGAGTAACAAGAAATATAAAAATTGATATTTTTTGAGATTATTTTATATTTATCAATATTTATTAACTTTTTAACTATATATATATAATTATATTATTATATACAATATAGATTTCAATTTTGGCAGTTATTCCAATCTATTTTTCTCAACCTTAACAGCACAACATATTCGAAAAATTCAGAGGATATCCAGAAGACGTCCAAATATATCCTCTGAACGTCTTTCAAATATGTGTATACGATACACTTTTTGCACTCGTTTTTTGTTGACTTTTTGTCGGCTCGAAGCATTTTATATTTTTCGAATATATATTTTTATTTTTCATGCAGAATTGCGAATTACAAAATTTACTCTCTGCAGTAAAATTCAATCGATCAATTAGAGATCAGTTAGAGTTTAATTGATTAAAAAAAAAAATAATTTCTCTGTTCTTTATAATCCAAAAAGTACAGCTTATTATTGCGTAAGAACTCTTAATTCCGATTATGACGAAATCGGAGAATATTTTACCTGATAACGAATAGAAAAAATTTCTTCGGAAAACTTCACTGGCAAGATTTGGTTTCACCTCGTTGGTTTCGTTGAACGACGTTGACTAGAATGATACGATCAGCGACAGCAATTTATAAACCTTTCAACCTTGCAGCCACGCGGCCAAAAAAAAGATGGCGTGTGCAACACTTAGCGGTGGTAACACTGTTTAAACACCGGCAAACAAGTATATATCGATTAATCGAACGTCACATCATGCGATTTGAGATATCGCTTTTTTGAATTATTGACACAATTTATTTGTTCACTTATCTTGTTTTTTTCTTTTTTTTCGACGTTATTATAAACAAGAGAAGACTTGACAAGATATCTTATTATATAAATATCAATATATTATTCATCTGAATTCTCTTTCTCTCTTTAAAGATTTATTTTTCTGAATTTGCGCGCTCGGCAACAGAATCTAGAAAAAAAATAATAATAGTTTTTATATACATAGTTTTACGGAATACATTTTTTTATTTATCATATCGCGAGAGATTATACATTTTGCAATATTTTTATAAGGCCTATTATGCAAATTCCATTCGCAATCCAGCCATCCCATTGGTCGGCTCACCTTTGACATTCGCGCACGTGAACCAGTAGTAGCGTACGCTACTACTGTAATCAAATCGATATTCGCTCGATTATTCGTTCTGTCAATTTTGGTGTCGTCTCCACGAATTTGACATTTCATCCTGATAACACGCACTCGAATCGGTATCGAAACAGTCGCGGCATCGGTGGTAAAGATAAATGCGAGTTTAATCTTTTTTTTAGCTCGGGATTATCGAATGTCAAAAATGGAGAAAAGCGAGGGGATGGTCGACGAGTGAAGCTTAGTTACGTTTTTTATTGCGAGCCTCTTATCATTCGTTTATCATTCGGAGGAATACTCACAGCTGCCTCAAAGATGAAGAGAGGAGGCATGGAAATCACTTGCTCAGCGTTGCTGCTGCTGTTGGTCGTGGAATTAACTCGTGGGAATGCATTTTACAGTCGCGAGGATCCCTGCATCAGTTTGTGCGAAAAAGCACCTTCTAGCTTCTCAAATGTATGTTTTAGTTTCTTAAACTGATGATCTCAATGTTAATTCTGTCATTGTACATCTATTCTATATATTTGTAGAACGTGTATGTAAAGTCCTGCTGTCAACGAGGCTGCAGATTTTTTAATCTGGTCGACTTGCGTTCTGGATGGGAAGCCAATAGTTTGAATGGCACTAGGGATGCTTGCGAGGCTTGTACGTGTGTTTTTATGATTGTTTTAGCTTCAAACATTGTTTTGCATAAATTTCTGAAAGAGAAAAATTTTAATTAGAAATTCTATCTGTATATAATTCAAAGGAATTTGTATTCTTTTTAAAGATTGCTTCTATCTATACATATATAATTTGCTATAAAGAATGTTATTCAAATTCTTCATATATAATTATATAAAATTGCTTTCACACACATATATATCATTTTATACAGCATGCAATGAGGCTTATACAAACCTGCAAGATCGTGTTGCCTGTGGCACTGGTTGTGATTTTATGGCCAAGCAACGTATTTCGGATTTGGTATCTCTGTTTTCTATCGCCATATGCATTGAACAAGGCATAGACTCCAATGTTTTATTAATGTCACCCGACATGCCAGAGAATGATATATTAATGGATCCTGGGTTGCGCAAAGAGCTTCTTCCTGGATGGTGGGATACCGATGGCTTCAAATTGCCACAAACCTATGTTAAAACTGTACCAATAGATGCTGGTGTAAGTGTAACATTTTTTTAATTACATATTTTGACATAAATGATGTAAAATACATACATTTTATAATTTGTGAAACCGCAGACTATAGATTATGCTTTGTCCTCTGATTATTCCGGCGAAACCGAACAATCATCTATGCCTGACTGGTTTCATTGCGCTTTGAAGCAGATAAGAATACCTTACTGGGACATTGGAGTACCTTATTGGCTTTTTGCTTCTGCCATAGCAGTATTCATAATGGTGTCCATGCTGTGGCTTTGTCTGTCAACAGGAGACGTCCGAACAACGTCTCAAAAAGACGTTTTAATTGATATGGCTAATTCGCCAAAAGTTGCACTATACATGCCAGATGAAGCTCCACTGTACAAAGATCCTCCACCTAAATACGAACATTCGTCCAGTCACTGTGAGTTTTAATTAGCTTTCGATGTTATTTAAATTACGATATTTCGATGAAGAATTTTACGCGAGACGCAATTATCACGTTTCGAAAGCCTTAGTATAACGCAAGGATACAAATTTCAACTTTGAATATTTTAAGTTTATAGACAGATGCACATTCGAAACTTAAATTGCATTTTACAATATCATGGAGAAATCAAATTATTTCCTTGCTTTTTTATAAATAAAATTGACGCATTTAACATAATATTTATTATACATATATATGTATATATAACATAAAGTAACAAACATAGAGAAATGACAGAAAAAAAAACTTATTTAATAATACAAAATTTCTGAACTTTTCGAAAAATTTATGTTGATAATTATATATTACACTCCTTTTCTCACATTTATTAAGTTTTGAGAATATATATATATTATATATATCTCGAGCACAAGAAATATTTTTAATATCAAGAATGAAATTTTTTCATCATTTCTAAATGCAATAATTTATATATGTATATATTTAAAGAAACAAATATATTATACAACGAACAAGTTCAAATTCGTAAAAGAAATAGACAAAACTTTTTCAATGACAATATAGATGCATAATCAAAATACCATTTGATTTCGCCGCTCTTATACTGATTTATGGCAAATTCTCATCCAAGATTCGAAATGATCGTAGTACAACACAAAATTATGGAAATAGCTAATATAAACACATCATGATATAATAATTAAATTTTCCTCCACATATAAATCTGTCAGATCTATAAGAATTTTGTGGAAAATATATAAATATTTAATATTACATATGTAAACATTTATGTCAATCTTTTTTTATCGTATAAGGAATTGAAATTTTTATATAGATCCAAAAGTTTTTCAATGTCTGCTGGATAAATTAGAATTCAATTAAAATTGAGTTTGTAATTTCTTGATACAGCATGTTATTTTGTTGTTACCTGTCTATCATACGTAGAACATCAGCAATTTTACATCTTGTACTTGTGCAAAATATACAAAGCTACATCTTTGCTGATTACGATATATACAAATATATAATTATACAATGGATATATATATATATATACATATATATTTTATATATACACGCATTCCGCGCGATCTTTTCAGAATTTTTATAAAATGTCATATCATATGTTAGTTAGAACTTGTTTATAGCATACATAAGGCAATGTATTGTATATATTTATAATGTACATTCCTGCAATTTTAATATTTGATTTAAATTGTTTACATCTTCATCAACAAAGAGATACAAGAGAAGATGAAATATTATACTATTGATAGACATTAAGTATTATTTGCAATATTTGTTACAAAACTTTACATATGTTATTCCATTGTTTATTCTTAAGAATATTATTTATTCTCATATGTGAAGAAATAGCAATAAATAATAAGCAAGAGTTTATCTTTCTTTAGATAGAACAGTCCAGAGAGACACATGTAAGAATATGTTAAAATTTTTACGCGCAGCTGTTTAGCTTTATAGTACTTCGATGCATTCTTGAAAGTTTTAAATCTTGTAAAAATTTACATGTGATCTAGAAATATAATGTATATGTATCGTACAAAAAGTAAATAATTCAAGTTCCTGTTTGCAAGACTTTTATATATTCTTGAATTAAATCTTATTGTTATATCAAATGTAGAAAGTAAAATTTTAAGTGTTTTTTTCCCTCTGACGCAATTTGTTGAGAGTAGCTAAAACTATTAACTTCCTATATATCCATGTGTATCTCAAAAAGTCTATGATTAGATGTTATAGAAATCCTGAAAGATGTTATAATGTATTACATTATATTTATAAATATCAAAATATTTATTGCATAATAGAAAAGTACATGTAAAACCAAAGTATCATGTTCCTTGAGAGTAGAGTATCTTATACAACTAGTCTACAAATAAGTATGTGTTATTCTCATATATGTAAAACCTGAAAATAAAATATAAGTTTGTTATGTGACACAAAATCGTGGAAAATCAGTCAGCAATTTCTCTCTTTGTTTTGACCAATGTTTTCATCCGAACAAACAGCATCTAGAACTCTCAATGTAGACGTAAATGTAACATTAACAAGTAACAGTTTCGGAGATAGAAAATATCCGTTCCTTTTTTATAAAACGCCGCACATGAAAAAGGCGGAATGTATGTACATTAAGTTTATGTATAATCGCGCGTGTACATACATCTACAAATCGATACCGACTTGGCTTGCGACAGATAGTTCGCGTGAGATCTTTAGCGATAATATGTACCTTAATATGTACACACAACGTGGACCGTGTCTAGAAGTAGAGTATCGCGATCTTAATCTGTAAGAAGGCTTACTTTGTACAATATAAATCACATATACAATGCCGTGAAGATGGATTTCATGTGCTAGACATCATCAATTATTATTGCCAGTAGAATTTGTGATAGTCTCTATGTACTTCGGCACATATATCAGTATATTTTTCCAATGCGGAACTCAACAATAAACAAAGCCCGCTTATTCAATAGTTACATCAGGATTGCGAATCGGCAAGAGACATCTTTGACATCCGCAGAAGAGATCTTTTTTAGCAATATATCACACATATAATTCATATATACAACATAGAGATTGTATTTAGAAACTAGAGAGTCACCGCAGCAATTTTAATCTATCAGATTCAATTTGTATTTTATAATTTGCATAAGTACAAATTAAATCTTCTAAATTAGATTGCGACATAGTAAAGCTGGATTTCATTGTATAATCGTCTATATTATTGCCAATAGAGCTCAGGATCGTCTCTGCGATGTTGGAGCTTCAGCACATGTCGATATATTTTTAAGGCGGGACCTAGTAATAAATTAAGACCGCATAATACATCTTTTCGACTCATCATTAGAAGCGCATGGCCATCTATTTCCTGAAATACGAATACGAACATATATATATATATATATATATGATAAATGTCAACAAATGTGAGCGATTACCGAGACGATTTATGTGGAATGGGTTATGTTCCCGAATACAGTATCAATTTACACACCTGTTGTCGAAAGATTTCAGCTTCTTTGGGAAACAATCTAGCAAAATATTGGTACACTTGTTCAGAAGTCCAAGTCCTCGCGTCGGGAATATTCGGATCAATAGGACCTTTGGGACCATCATCTTCCATTTGTTCGCAAGAACCTCTGTTAGGAGAGACCTGTGGACTCAGAACTGGTGGTAAAATCAGTGCACCAGACGGACTATCCGGCCTGCTCGTTCCATTGACCAAATTAGAGTTGATCAAATTAGTGTTGATCAAATTGGTGCTGACCAAATTGGTGTTGACTAAAGTAGAGTTTTGGTTGTCAGTCACTTTGCATTGCTGCTTTTGCGCACATTCATTGCAAAACCATTTAGAACTTGATTTTGGCATCGTAACACGTGACGTGTGACAGAAGTGGTGATAGGCATCGTCACAATTGAAACAAGTCACTAGAGGTCCCTAAAAAATAAAAAATACAATGAAAAATTAGTTATATAAATTATTGCATGAAGTAGAAAACTATGTATTGAAAACTTACAGCATCAGAAGTCTCACAGCATACTGTACAAGTTTTACAACGTTCGCATTGCCAACTACTATTCATCTTTTGGATCATCTCCTCCGGAGTATAAATGCAACTTGGATGTGCTACAAGTACAACATAACAAATGCATATAAATAAAACCAAAATAGTTGAAACAAATGAATTTCTATCAAGAACCTTACCTCGTACCGTACAGTCTCGACAAGCTATAAGAGCTTCTTGTTTTTCCTTGCAGCCGCAGAGGCTACACTGCCTGGACGGTCCATCTTTGACATTTGGCTTGACAGAAGATTCCTGAGAATCTTGTATTATGGAATTATTTTTGTTATGAGTACCTGACTGTCTACAATGTCTACCGCGTTTGCGTTTCACCAGATTGTTGTCAGAGGGATCAAATACTTTTCTAGCTCTCTAAAATATAAAAACAAATAAAAGATTTATAAGTCTCACCTATGATTCTTATAGAAACCTGAATATATATAAAAAAAAACAGGAAACAAAAAGATGTTGATATATCAAGTACATTAACAAACCAATTCTGAAAGCGAGTGTAAACAAGACCCTTATTGTTAAATTACCTTTCTCCTGGCGCTGCGGAATCCCCCAGTATTTACATTGGACGGAGTCGGGGACGTGTTAGTCGACGAACTCCTGCCTGCGTCCTCGTCCTCGCGATCCTCGCTCGAGCGTCTGCTGGTCCCCTCGCGCTTCTCCGGCTCCTCCTTACCCTGATAATCCTCGAACTTGATCTCAATATCCATCCGATCATCCGTCCTCGCGAAGAGCCGCTGCTTGCGCTCGGCCTTGGTGGATCTCTTGAGGTTAGGCGCGGTCTTCTGGACGTCGTTGCTCTTCACCTCCTCCTTGACGACGACGTCGTTCTCCACGGTCGGCGTCGTCGACGACACCGCTACCTCCGGGGAGTCGTCGTGCTGCTTCTCGTCACCACCGTCGAGGTGGCCGTTGCAGGCGTCTCCATGCTCCGCGTCGTTCTTCTCGTCGACGACGTCACCACACTCCTCCTTCTTCCCAGAATCCTGCTGCTCCGGTTTCGGGCTGTTGCTGGCCTGCCGCGAGGACGACCGCGACGACCCGGACGTGGTGTCGGTAAGGTTATCGGTCTCGTTGAACTCGTAGAGCTCGGCCGCCGCGGACGATGACGTCGTCGTCGTCGACGTGGTCGTCGTCATCGCTGCCGTCGTCGTCGTCGTCGTCGTTAAACCATTGGTGCTGAGATTGCTGGTGTTGTCGGTGCCATTTCTGACAGTACCGTTGCTGGTTTTACCGACACGTCGCTGCGTCGCGTTGCCGTTCTCCAGGGCGCAGGAGGAGGAGGAGGAAGATGAAGAGGAGGAGGAGGACGACGAGGAGGAGGAGGAGGACGGCTGCGAGTCGCCGCCGCTGCGTCGCGACGGTGTCGCGTCCGTCGTCATGTCGGACGTCGCCACCAGCGAGTAATTGCCGTTGGACAGGCGCGCCAGATTCCCGCTCGCGACCTCCCGGCCGAGGAACTCCTCGACCACGCGGCGCGACGTCGGGCTGGACACGCCATCGAGCAGTTGCTCGATCAGTCGACCGGCCGGGACGCCCTGGTCGAGGTAATCAGGTTCCTCGACGACGAGCTCCGCGACCGCGCTCGAGACCATGCTCGAGTTCAGCTTTTCCTTGAGGAAGCCCTCCGGCCGGTTCTTAAACAGCTGTAACCGGGACCACTTCTTCGCGTTCCGGTAGCTGGTGTTGCCCTTGTAATCCACCTGGATCACCTTCTCGACCTCTATCAGCCGATGGAGGTCGGCGATGGTGTCCCGCGCGTCCACCGCGAAGTTCCGCAGCAGATAATTGCAGATGCGGTCGGCATCCGGGCGGGCTTTACGTCGACGCAGTTGATCGATCGCCTCCAGGATGTGCTCCTCGTGGGTGATCTTGGCCGCGGCCGCCTGGCCCGGGTGTTGCTGCATCTTCGTCATTCGTGATATCGATGATAAAACCTGAGGGCGCGACACTCTCTCTTTCGGTCTCTCCGGTCGCCGAAATTGCCTCGCCCCAGGAGGCGGCGCCGACGGCGATGACGTTGGTGGGCGACGATGGAGCAGTTATCGCCGCGCTCGTTCCTTGAGAAACAAAACGCACATTGATGAAAAAATCTATCCGATCGATGATTCACGCGCCGGACGCGATACTCTGCCGTTCTGTTTTTCTTCTTTTTTTTTTTACTTCTCTGTCTCTCTCTTTCAGCGCGCTCGTGTTTCCCCGAAGCGCGTCGCGTGTCTACGCGCGCCGACACGAAATTTAAATTTCCGCGTCGCGTACAGGCCTCGATTTATATTCGCTTAATAACGAAGGGCGCTCTCATGTATAAGGACACACCGGACCTGTTCGGACTGTCGCGCCGCGTCGCGAACGCACTTGTTTCTCGCGTCGCGCGGATCATTCGATCTCTTTCTTTCCCTCCCTTTCTCCCTCACGCTCTGACGGGGCGCGCTCTATCGAACTCGTTCTTTGGCGCGCACCTACCTATAAGCCATCTACGTAATAACAATAGTCGCGATAAATCCGATCCTCGTTGCGCGCGTGTCCGTTCGGACACAACCCTGACAGCACGACATATATGCGAAAGATGTTCGGAGGATATCCTCGGGATGTTCTCCGAAGATCTTCGGGATATGTGCGCTGTTGGGGTAAAGAGAGAGAAAGAGAAGACTTTATTCGAGAATGATCGAGAGAGCCGTCAGTCGATCGGGAGCGAATTATGGCGTCTCGCGTGAAACGCGCCAAATATCTCCCACCGGGGCGACCCCTTTAATTAGACCGCGCGTTACATTATTATTATTATTGCGCGACGAAAACGTTTGTCCCCTGGCTCGCACTCATCTCCTTCCGAGAAGTTTTCAAACCGCGCTCTTATCGCTCTTCCACGAACCCCGGAGTCTTCCGCTCGGACGAGAGAAGGTGTAGGTGCGAGAGCAGGACACGACGCGGTAATCTCCGTCGCCGGCGCGGATCGAACTGCGGACGCGCGCCGCGTTTCACACCCTCCGCCTCTCGGAAAGATCTCGAGCCGAGCGAGCCGCCGCTGCCCGATGACGACGTGATCGGTCAATTCTCGCGCTTCTCGTAAACAATGGCCACGGCGCCGGTAAATGTACCTTCCGTCTCTTTTGCGATCATTTTCTATACACGCGCGTATATACGTGTAATCGGGGAGGATCGCGACGTTCCTTTTGACAATCGACACCGACCGGAGCGGCGACAAGAGCACACTTTTTTTTTCCCGAAGGGAGCACGTATTGTCCGCGCCTATATATACTTACCTACGTGCCGCGAACAGGCGCGTAATAAGTGCGCACGCCTCTCCTTCCCTCCGGGTCCGCGGAAACGACGAGCGAGTGCGGATATGCGGCCACGTGACGCGCGACGAATTTTCTACGTCGGTCCGCGAATTGGAAAAAAAACGTCGCGCGCGGAAAAAGAAAAGACGTCAGTCCGGAAGACGGGATGAGCGAACAAGTACACAGATACAGATACAGATACGAGCGCGCTTGCAAGAGAGAGGACGGCCGCCCTAACCTCGAACGAACCTCGCACGGCCGTGGCGACTGTGCGAATACGGCGGCAGCGGTAAGACGCTCCGCGCGTCACCGACGTCGGCGCGCCTCTGTGTGAGTGCGCGCGCATCTACGCCGAACGGCTGTGTGAGTGCGCGCGCGCCTCGTCGCGTCACTGTGTGAGTGCGCGCGCGCCTCGTCGCGTCGCTATGTGAGTGCGCGCGCGCACCTCGTCGCGTCACCGTGTGAGTGCGCGCGCACCTCGTCGCGGCACTGTGTGAGTGCGCGCGCATCTCGTCGCGTCACTGTGTGAGTGCGCGCGTATCTACGCGTGCGAGTGTGCGAGTGCCCGCGCGCATCTACGTTGCGAGAGTGCACGTAACCGACTGCGTAAGTGTGCCGGCGCGGCACTCGTGTCAGCTGCTCTTTCTCGCTCTCGTCTCGCGTGCACGTTTCCTGTTGTCACCGGATCAACTTCGTCGATATCGATGCCCGGCGATGTCGCGGCGCGACGTCCACCGGGTGATTCACGATAAGCGAATCGCTGCATGACGATCGCGATGACGCGCCTCTCTCTCTCTCTCTCTCTTCTCTCTTGTATCCGAAAAGGACGAGATGTATATGTACATGCGTGTAGGAATACAAAGAATTTTCCCTATCTATCTATCTATATATATATATATATATACGCTCTTTCCTGTTATGTCAAAACTTACCGAGCGATGCGTCCTGTCCGATGTACGCGCGCGCGTATGTGTGCGCTTCTAACCGCTGTGTGTGTCGCTTCTAACCGCTTCTACGCGCGGCGTGTTGTCATCTCCTTTCGCACGCTTCGCGGGCAAACTCTGGGGCCGAGGTTGTCCTTGACGGAAAAACAATGACGTTCCCCTCGTTTCTTCGTGTCGAATGGCCTCTCCGCGACACTCTTCGCTCTTCTCCTGCTGGCTTCGCCGGAGCCGAAAACGCGGCGCACCGAACCTAATCGCAAAGCTAATCGAAATGATTCGAATACATGTCCGTGGGGAGGACGTGGACGCTCGTGTCTCGTTCGTCAATCGCCGGGGAATCGTTTAATAACGTTACGACGCGCGCGCGGTCTCAGCCGTACGAGTTTCAATTAAAAACAAATGGACCCAACACCGGCCGCGACTGAATGCGATATGGGAGACCGCGCCAAGATGGCACACAACGCGCACTTTTTGTACCGGCGACAGGGCTGCCACAAGTCGACACTTTCCCCTTCTCCTGACGAACTGGATAAATTTTGTACATTTTTTTCCTCGTCGCGGCGAGCTATTTTTCGAATTAGATTTATATACAGGAATTTCCGAAAAGCGATTATATTTGCATATATTTGTATGAGAAAATTCTCCACCTGTACAATTTTCCTCGAGTTCTTTTGAAAAAAAATTTCTTTAGAAGATATTAACGAAGTGTGTTCTTATATGACAGCCTTGCGATCCAATCTTGCTTAATCTTTATCGCTGCGGAAAATCGTGGCGCTGCCGTTTTCCGTTTCCGGTCAAACAATCTATCGCGTAGTTTGCTGCGCGAGTGTGTGTGTGCGCATGCGCGATGGGTTGGGCGCATGCTTGGGAAAATCCTGAAATATTTTTTTTTTTTTTTACGTCGCGGACGGATCTCGACGATTTTTCATGCTGCGCATGACGAAATATTTTTTATTTTTTATGCAATTTATGCAATTCGCGCTATTCCATCATCCACTTCTCTTTTTTTTTTTACCTAGGACGCATCGTGGATTTTCCTAATTAGATACATATATGCCTGCGAAGGAAAAAAGGGCGGCAAAATTTTTAAGTAGATTTTCGAGATATTTTTCGCAGCGCATTCTATAGCATTAGAGATGCGAAGAAATTAAAAAGCAAGTTCGCAATTATTTGGATCAATTGTTCTATAAATTTCAACAAGAATGTTTATACCCTAACAAGATTATTTTAAGATTTATACGTACGATCGAACGGCGCTATTTTGTACATAAAATCGCATGTATTTTATTATCAAACGTACAAAATATCTCATAAATATATATATATAAGAAAAAAAGAAACTGCATCTCTATTACCTTGATTTCTATGTCTAATGATTAATATCACACGGTAATGCAATCCGTTTCACGTTGGATCACATTCTAAGCGTAATTGTTTTCCTTGTTGATGACATCATCGGGTCCGTGCTGTTTAAGTTTAGATATCTGCCGTGTATAATATAAGTCATATAGTTTGACGAGAAAATGATATTCCTTATACTTCATCAAAGTATCATATACATACCAAATTAAGTGGCTTCACCTTTCCAGTGATTCTATTTTCTTTAAATGGACTCTGTTGTATCTTTTCGGCACTCTTTTTCTGATAAACAGGAGAGTATCGCGGACGATCCACTAAACTCCTATTTAAACGCTGCGGAGACCTCTGATAGTTTACATTGAAGGATAAACTGTGCTTGGGTGATGTTGAAAACTTTGAGTTTCTAAACGCATCCGTCTTAGGTGTTGTACACTTCTTCGGAGTTGGCAGTTTGGATAATCTAAAATATAAACATTATTATTGTCCCAACATGGTTCTTTTTCCTTTATATTTTATTTTTAGTAAATTTTAGTTTAAAGTATAGATCTCATTATTTTATAATCTTGTTTACTTACTTTTTGGGACTTTCTTTTCGTTCATTGCTGCCACTCATGTTTACATATGCAGTCACTGGTGAAATATCACACGAAAGGTTACCTTTTTTATTAGCAGACAAGTGTGTATTCGAAGTCTTACTATTTTGACTGTCTGGTGTCGACGAAGCCATCGGCTTGGATCTCACAGATTTCTTCACCACATGTTTATTGTCCACTGAATTGGGAGTGCTACTGATTATTTTACCACAAGTAGTTTTATCAGATTTAGGTGGCGTAGTTTGAGAAGATGATGCCGTTTGTTTTCCTGAAAATGCTATAATAAAAATTAAATAAATTAAGAAATAATATTATCGATTAATATATGTGATATTTGTAATATATCAATTTTTAGAGTCGTTATTTTTATAATTACCAATAAATAAATACAATTATAATTTTTTAAAACATTTCTATTAACAAAAAGTAAACATACTTCCTTTCTTTTGCATATTGTCTACAGGATGCACTGCTTTCATAGGACCTCTTTTATTGACTATACTTGTCCTTTTCTTTAACTTATTTTTAACATCGTTTATAGCAATGCATTTCTCCTTTTTAGATTCAGATTGTATAACATCCGCTGAAATATTTGTATATAATCAAATTTTTATCATCTGTATTTTAAATAAAGTATTATTTAATAACAAATGTACACAACATATATATATATATTTTTTTTTGATACACAATTTACCTTTTCCTATATTACATGTTTCTGAAATTATAGCTTTTTTATTTGCTAGATTATCAATTAATCTAGGCTTACTTAAAAAATGTTTCTTGCCATCTTCAACTTCGGACGTACTTCTATATTTACGTATTTGCATATTTGATGTATTTTTGGGCGACGAATGAATTACAGATAAACTTCTTCTAACCGTTTTCTCGAGTGGCTATATAGAAAATATAAAATGTAGACAATGTAAATAATCAAAGTTATAAGACTGTAAAAAATTTACTTACTTTAGGTTTTGTTTCAATGCTTTGTCTATGCTTCGCTTTTGTTGAATGCACATTACAATCAGATTCTGATGCCTTTATTGGTATAGCCCGTTGAATACTACGCCTTTTATTATTGTCTAGCTGTATCTCATTTTCACTTTTATGGTTATTTGATGCAACATTTAAAGCTTTGCCTATACTTTTAAGTAACTGCATTGTTGTAGCATCCTCCTCTTGACCGCTCAATAATTTTCCAAGATTCATCAGTAATTCTACTGCTAATTTTTCATCTTTATCGTTCTCTTTAGTACAATTTGTATGTTCTTCTTCACGTGAATGATAATTTTCACTATTATCTTTAAAAGATGAAGGATTAACTGACAAACTGCCACTACTGCTAGTTGTAGTTTGCAGAGTGTCTTCCAATCTATTTATATCAGATGACAACTTTTCAGCATTACTGATCTCTTCTTTGGATGATATTTTTTCACTTTCTTCTTCGCTCTTATCAGTACTTGTATCTTCAGATCTTTCGATTATGTCAGATGATTTCGACAATATTTTCTGAGGGCTTCGCAATTCATTTGATATATTGAGACAGGTTACTAACAATTCTGTATTATTTTTACAATTAGAATCTAAAACATTTTCCAAATTATCAAGTAATTTATTGATTTCTGGATTACTTTCTACTTTAACTAATTTTCTGAGATCTGACAATAATGATGTTATAATTGTCTGTTTTACGCAATCTGTGAATTGTGGCTCCATTTCCTTTAGAGAATTCCTGTCTATATTGTCACTTGGAGGAGACTGCTCTTTATTATTGTTTCTAATGTCTTTTGAGTTTTCTTCTGGCGAAATGGGTAATTCAATTAAATTCTCTACTACAAGATCATCTTCAAATGCTGGTAATAATTCTGACATCCACAGAGTATTATTTGAAATTAAATCATCATCCGTGTTAGCTAAAAAAAAAAGGAAAATATAGAAAGAAGTATTAAGAATTTAAATTAGTTGCAAATTATATTTTCACAAAGTTATATATAGCAATCTAATAATAAATTACATATAATTATACTATGCAATAATAAATTATATAAAACTCTATTACTTAGTAAAATTACTTACATTCAGAATCCGTTCTTAGTGCTAATTCCTCAAAAGTCTTTGAAAGCATTTTGGCTTCATTCAATATTGACTTGTCGACTTTATTAGTACCCTGCAATCAATTTTTATTCCTTATTTAATATAAAATTTAGTATTACACTTAGAGTATTATAAATTAAATTTTTAAATATTTCTATAAGGCAACTTTAAACATGCATTCATGTGAGATAAATATCTTACAGCAAATACAGAATCCGAAGAAACAGTGGAGGTTGAGCTTTTATTGCATTCTTTACTGGAATTTTGTTCTGGCAGAAATACATCAACATCTATTAATTTGTCATTTGAAATTTGTTTCTTTTCTTCTTTCATAAAATTAGATTCAGTTTCTGTTATATTCGAAGTACAAATTGCCTCATTCATAGTACATCTTAATTTGTCAAGTCTTTCTGCTAGATCTGACAAATCATACTTTGATTTTATTTCCATAGAATTTTCAGTTGTATTTATCTTTTCTTGACTCAATTTTAGTGAATTACTATCCAAGAAAGCATGATTCATAGTATCAATTGACGATATTGAAATAGAACTCAATTTTGTTATAGATGAAACATTTGATAAAGAAGAAAATATAGATTGTTCATCTTGTTTGCTCTGCAAAAAAGCTTTATCTAGAAGAGATAAAGCACTGCTATCACTTTGTGAACATTTTTTCTGATCATCTGTTACTGATAGTGATCTCTTATTTAAACATGATAATATTGTTGGTGACCTTCCAGCTCCTTGTGACAATGAACGCAATTTAAGATTATTGGAAGAAAGACCAAATTCTTTAAACAATGTGTCTGCTATATCATCATCCTTTATGGATTTGGAAACTGATTCTAGTAACGTGTCGTTCATCGCAGACTGATTTAAAATTGACAACTCCAGCTCTGGACCGGTAATCAATGTTTTCTGACATTGTTTGACCATAGAGGTATTTTCTGTCGCATTATTATCACAGACACCAGCATTTTCTGCATCAAAATCAACAGTTTCTATCTTTATTTTCACTTTCTGATCATTGCTTGATATATCCGAATACAATTTAGTTTCAAGCAAAGACCCATCCAATGTCTTGTTTCTCATCTTTAAGTACCTCTTCTTACTTTTTGGAGTAAAATCATCCGCAAAGTTCACAGATCGCACTTTCAGATCTGTGGCCCTTTTCCTTTTAAACTTCAGAGCTCGTTGTAGCATCACTTCAAAGGGATCGCCCTTTTTGCTGACATATTCGGCGGTTTCGTGCAACACCGTATCAAATGGATTGTTGCCCTCATTCTCACGTTTCTCTGTTATCATCAATGAATTTGTTTCGCTGTTGGATTCGGCATTTTTAGGAGCCGGTATCAAAGGCGAGGCCAGTTTCGTGGGGTTTCGCGATCCTTTCGCGTCCGGACTATTTAAATCGATTAAATCGCACATTCCGGTTCGTCTCTTACTTCGGTTGTTCAGAACACCTCAGGTGTTTACAGTATTCTAAGGACAACAGAAAAAAAGTTCTGTGTATGCTAATTTAAGTATACTGAATAAAAAGTATCGTCATATGTGTATATCTCTGTATTATTCTACTCTTGTATTCGATTAAAATACCTTAAGTTATCTCGCAGTCCGCAGTTCGAACATTACAGTCCGCGTAAATAATATGATAATTGTAAAATTTGTTTTGCAATATTGCGTATCGATAACACGATTCTCCTCCTCGCGCGAACACCTTTACGGTTAGGTGAGATTTTTAAATTCCACGCAACGGAATCATCGAACGCCCTCTGTCGTGAATAGATTCCGGAAGTGACGCTGCAATGGCGGTATTTTTAAAATCAAAATAGCTGTTTTGAAGCAACATTCTGAAAATTGCCAAATAATGGAAAATTAAAATTAATTAAATTATTTTAACTAAACATTAAAATAATTACTTAGTACAATTATTTTAATTGAAAATAAAAATAATTACGTATTGTGCGAGCAAATCATGCAAGTCAGCGCCACATTAGACAAATTCAAATTAAAAAAATATTTTGTAATAAAAGAGATTTAGATTCTTGCCATTGTTGGCTCTCGCAATTATGTTTTCACGCAAAACTATCGAATTACATACTATCCAACACGTTCTATCTAATTACATAAATTTATTAAGCAAGATTATATAGTTATTCTAAATTTACAAAGTACATAACAAAGCTTCGTCATACACACACATACATTTTGTAAAAATTCTCTTTTGAATATAATTTATTTTATAAAAATTAAGTACACAAAATGCTAGTATACAGGTATATAAATAATTACTTTTTTTTATTATTATTCTCAGGCAAGATATAAGGCACATATGTTCATTCGTATCGTTTAAAAACTATCCTAGTATGTACAATGTATATTTTCACTAGCTTTATCGATTCACAAATGTGATTGCAGGACTTTAATAAGCCAAACATTAAATAATTCATTAAAAAAATTTTATACAATTGTATTTACAATTTTCGTCTTTTTCTTGCTATGTGAATATATCAATTATCAAGCTATATTATTATTTTTTATCGCTTTTTCCTCATAACATAATATTTCATAGATAATTTTGATAACAAATTATCGTCACTAAAATATTATGACAATAATATTGCATTAGTCACAAATGACGTTAATAAATTATTTAATCTCTAGTGCAGCTAGGAAAACATAAAAATAACAGGCATACATAATAATGTTAACAATACATGACTCAATCATTATATTCATTATTCATTAAAAAGATACTTCTATAGTAACTGTCGTAAAGTGACACTACGTTCTTTTCTCAACATTGATGATTTTAAAAGTTAACATAATTGTACGTATTGTGTATTCCAAATGCATAGTATTTCATATATACCTTTCAGTAAAAATCTTTTTCAAAAGTTGCCTGTAAAAGAGATATAAAAATCTAAATTGTTCAATGCTCACTAGTTTATGACCATTAAGTAGATATGTGTAATAGTTAAATCAATTACTTTGCGCAGGTACATTAAAATTGAATTCATGCCTACTTAACAGACAAAGTCCTTAATAATTCTTTTTTATATAAAAAAAAGAAGACAAAGAATATATCATAAGATGCAATCAGATCATTTACTTTATAGTCTTATATACTGTAAAATGGGACTATTTTGACTATATTGTTAATATTATCAAAATATTGATAAATTAATCTTACATTGATTGATTGATGTAAGAAATGTAAGAAAAATACTTCTCTGCTCAACATATTGCATCAATAATTAATTATATTTAATATAAAAAAAATATTGAATTTAGCAAAGAACATGTAAATAGTAACAATAACATGTAAATAGTAAAATAGTACATATTTTATGTGCATGCAAAAATCACGCCAAGTTAATCCCAATTTACAACAATGATACACATTTGAGCATATTTAATTAAAGACACCCTGTAAATGTCTTGCAACAGTCTCTTCATTGCAATATATCTAAATACAGCCTATAAGTTAAGTTTCTCATCGAGATATAAGTCGTGTGTTCTCTTGTGCGTTCCATATTATAAAATAGAATTCATTGAAGGTTCATGCGATTATCGGCGTCCGGTTCTTTCTTTTTCGCGCACGAGGTCCTCAAGTCACAAGATCTTACCGTCTATAAAACAAAGACATAGCTGCGATACATTCTCACAAACGTTGTTCGATAGGCAGTGACCCTTGGCGCAGAGACGGCGGCTCGCTATGCGACGTGACGTTTACGTCAGATCCAGCTGCATCACCGTTGTTGTGTCCGTTGTTGCTGCCGTTGTTGTTTTGGCCGTTTAGAAACGACGTCATTTCCATCGACGACTGTTGTCCGCTCTGGATTTAGAAATATGTGTGTGTTCGTTCGCTTCTTTTCAGATCTAGAGCGTGTAAGGAGTAACGTGCGTGTGTCGCGTTCGGAAAAACAAAAGAAAAGCGGCTCCAGAGAGACGCAAGAAGAGCGGGTGCAGAGAGCGAGTAGAATTAAAGAGCAGCGCGCGACCAATGCTTAATCTAGAAAAGAGACTAGTCTCCTTAATACATTGTCGACAATTAACGACGGATTTACACGATTTAGACGGGTGCAGGGAAATCAATGTCAAGTTTTAAACACATTTTACATTTACAAAATTACCAAGTTAATTCATAATTTAAATAACTAAGATGGTATAATTTTATTATGTGATCATAATCAACATGTTTTCTGCATTCATCTAAAATCGTGCTGACTCCCGGAAGGAAAGTAAACGACTGGATCAAGATGAGCAATTATGTTTCAGAAAAATTAAACATAAAAAACAACATTTAATACTTTTTATCATTATTGCTCACCAAGTTCTGAATGAACGAATTCAGTTCCATTACTTTCTTCCGATGAAACAAAAGTGCAGATGTTGTTACTTACAAATACTGACCTTAGGCTGCATATCTTCGGATGTATCGAGACCAGCGAGCGGATTAGACGTGATGTTAATTTTGGAATCTGTAACTCCACCATTCATCACTCGTCCATTTGTTATCGGTTTACCTGTTTCATTAAAATGCAAGAAAAATTATTTAATTATTTAGATTATAAGAACTGTGCATTATTTTAATTTGTTAAATCACATACCTTCACTTTGCGATTCTTGATTTTGTTTATACTTTACTCTTTTGTATAAACATCCCGCTGCAAAGGCAAGAGCGACTAAAATCACAGCTCCTCCAAATACTCCACCGATTATAACATGTATATTGACACTCTTGATATTTTCGCTTGATATTTTCGGTTTCACTTTATTTTCCGCTATCACTTGCTGAACCGGATGTTCCTCGATGCTTTTTCCAGTTTTCTGTCGTAATATTTGGGAAAATTCCGATGCCGCATCTACGGAAAAACTCTGGATCTTGAACTCGTAGACAGTTTCAGATTGTAAGTGACAAATGGTCATGTTGTAAGCATCTTTTCCCTCAACGGTGGTTTTGAGATATTCGCCGGCTGTAGTGGAAGGCCGATGGTATATGTAGAATCCGTCAATTTTCACGGATTTGTCGGAATTCTGCCACATCAATAATACTTGATGCGGTCCTAGTGCTTCGGTATTAGTCAATAAAGGTATCGGCATTTTATCGCTCTCGGTGCCCCCCGTATTATTTAGATGGAAACGGATAGAATTTGGGCTCAATTTGTTATCGTTGTTCGAGTATACCGCAGCGATCCTAAATCGATAGGTATGATCGGACTGCAAGTCGGTCACCTCGAAAGATCGCACATGATTCGGTATCTCGGAATTGGCCGTCATCCACTTTGCCTGTTTGCCAATCATTTTCGGCCCAAGTTCTCGGTATTGAACTTTAAAAAATTGTATCGGCAAACCGTTGTTTTCCGGCACCGACCATCGCACCATGACGGAAATATCGGATAGTCTTGTGACGTTGGGCTGCGTTGGAGGTACCAAAACTGTTGTAAATGAAAGAAAAATAAATAAGAATATATATTTACACACACACACACACATATATATATATATATGATGTATATAAATAAAGTACATATATTTAAATATATATTATAATTGCGTGCAATATTTTTTACAAAAAATTGCCAATTTAAAAATAATCCATGTTTGAAAGAAACTGAAGAGATTTAATCCGCGATATCTCAATCAAACGTTTGATAATAATAAGAAAACGTATGAAACGACGATAAAGCAAAGTAAATAACCTGCGCCCTTCTTTCTTCCCTCTTTATTTCTGCGTCTACCACCCCTGGTATGTTTATGCCTTGACATCATCTCGGAATCATGCTGCCTCGGATTGACAATCAATAAGTTATGTCCCGAATGCGATCCGTATTCATTACTGGCGACACATTGAACAATCCCGGCGTGCTTCTTCTGAACTTCGGATAAAAGAAGAGTGGAGCCTTTGATCTCCTGATTCTTGTTAGATTTCAAGGATTTTCCGTTAATAAGCCACTCGACACTCGGTTCTGGCTCACCCGTCACGTTACACGAGAACTCCAATTCACTGCCCTCGGAAAAAAAGCCTCCTTTGGGGGCCTTTGTAACTTTTGGTGAGTCTACGACCCTCAAGATAAACACAGACTTAATCTGTTGGATGGTATTATCCCATACACAGTGGTACTCCCCACGATCGGACAGCTGCGCGCTAATAATCGTCAGACCGGTGGGCGACTTTATCGACTTCAGCGGTAAAGAGCTGCCTAGACGACTCCAGGTGATGCGCGGCACTGGATATCCGGCGGCGAAACATTCCAACGTAATGTTTTTGTTCTTCATAACTATGTACTCCGATTGCAGTTGCTTTATAAAAGTTGGCCCTTTAACAGTCGTGTTTGCGGATACCGTCAAAACTGTTTTATAGTTACTCTCGAATATCTGCTGAGTTATATAATTGTTTGCGCTGCAACTATAAAATCCGCTGTCCGTGGATCTGACATTCTTGATGATCATCGTCTTACTATTCACCAGATCTGCATTCTTTATGAGTACGCCATTCTTGTAAAATTGCACTATAGCTTCCGGTTCGCAATACGGTACAGGACAGGTGATGGGTACGGTGTTACCTTCTGCTACTTGGATGATGACGTCGTTTTTATCGGAGAATTTTTGCATCGTCGCGAGGGTCAATTTTGCTGGATCTGACACTAAACCAGACGGCCCTACGAACGGATTAAAAAGAATAAGTACATACATTTTATATAAAACATATTTTAGAGATTAAGACTAATTAATTTTATTTGTCACACATAGTTTTTCAATTAAAAAAAAAACACAAGAAATGAAAACTGTTTGTAAAAGCAGTGTTGGAGAAATTCTCGCAAAAACCTACCAAAGAACGCGATACAGCGATAATCTCCGGCCTTTGACTCGTTGTCGAAATTGACAATGTATCGCGACAACGTTTTGCTGCTCGTGGAATTTTGAGACAGCGGTATCCATTTGTTTGAATTCAGGGGCCTGTGATGCCACGCGAATTTATCCGCGGGGACAGCAACACTGCACTCGAAATTTACATCGTCATTTAACGGAGCGGCCAGAGGCTGTGGGTGTCTGTTAAAATAAAAATCGGACCCTTTTTTCAATTCCTGTTTCTGCCCTGCAAAAATCAAAACAACATATTATTAAATTTTTTAAATATTTGGAATTTATATTAAGCAATGTTTCAAAGTAATAAGAAACTTACCGCATATGTATGCGATTGGGCCGTAAAGTAGGATAACAATGATGCCACGTAAAGGGAAGATAGATGTCATCTTGGCACATTCTGCAAGCAATGCAAAAGAAGGTTGTTACATTAATTAAGCATGTCGTGTGCTATTGGTTGTTTTTCCGGTCTCATTCGTGGAAAAGCAAATACTCATCACCAGCTCGCAGAGTGCCGACGAAGAGTCACTAAAATTAATACCGAGCAAGCATGCCGTTTAAGTTTAGAACCTCGAGTTCATGTGAAAATAGAACACATGACATTTTTCGCTTTAAAAATTAAAGCGACAGAATGGCACAATGATCATTCATCATATAATTATAATATATAATTAATAATATATCTCATACATATATCAGTCGAAAAGTTGAAAGCAGTATAATTGTCTATGAAAATATTTTATATTTTTTATACATAAAGAATATATACACGGAAAGAAAAATATTAATATGTAGTAAATTTTATATCTTATTGTGGTGGATATTAATATTTTTTATTGTAATAAATATTGAAACTCTTATAAAAGTCTTTCAATATCAATGTCTCAAGATTACCATGATTTTTCTAAAAGAAAATTCTTTCTGTGTATATATTTTATATATATGATTATATATATATTTTTTTTTCTTTCTCTTTTCAAAATCTGTTAAATATAGCAAATTTTGAAATCTGAAGATATACATATAAAATTAATTCTCGAGTGTTTTAATATATTCTTCATATTTCAAAATTTGCTATATTTCGCAGATTTTAAAAAGAGAAAAAGAGAAAATCAATTTACCAGTTAAAACACGCAGCTAAAATAACAGACACGATAACAACGAATACAATAATAAATAAAAACAATTTTTTGTTTTACAAAGGACAGCAAGAAGGAAAATGAGTCGCTGGATGACGTGTGGCTATCTAGAAAATATCCATATACGGCGTCGAAAGCTGCGTTCATTGCGCGAACCGTTTTACACCCACGTGATATCGGGCTCTCGCGCGACCATCAGAAAATCATATACTCGCGCGTCTCCGAAGAGCGACGCGGTAATAATAATTCTTTCTCGTTGAGTTAATGTTGAACAGGATAGTGCGCGTAGGTATAATATGTATATCCATTCACATATTAACCGTTCACACACGCACCCACGTGTCGCTTTAATATGCGCGAAACTATCGATACTTTTTAGAGCGGAAAATGTGACAAAACGGAAATGCATTTCAAGGTTTTCCGCGAAACTATGTTACAATTATTAATATATAATATTTAAAAATGCAATTAAAATTAATTTATCAATGAATATTAATATAAAAGAAGAAACTTTGCACATCAGTATAACAACATTATTATAGCTTTTAACATGCTTTCATCAATTGACATTAATTTATAAATCTCGAATATTAATTTTTATCGATTTTACTAATTAAATATTTATATCTGTTAATCTCTAAATGTGTCAATTGAGGAACAACGCATTTTAACATATTAATTACAACATTTACAGAGTATTTCTCTGATCCAATCTGTAGCTAAAAAGATGTACATATATATATATTTGTATAATTTTAAATTCATTATTCATAACTTTCTTCTGCTATATATGATATAATTTCAATAGCATTAAAATTTAAGATTGTAAAATTGTATATTTTTTCGCTCATCACGTCATGTGTCTGTGTACCTCGATATGTAAGAAGAGAAGTCGGCGTCCGATAAAGTAAACGAGAATCAAGAAGGAAGATAGAAAGCAAGATAAGTGATAATTTTAAGTGAAAGCGAGCCTGCAATTCCAATTTTATCATCCCGAATGAATCAACTTGAAAAAAAGGAGAGAAAGAAAGACGAGAGAGAAGAAGGTAGAAGAAAAGGGATGATAATTTATATTTTGTATATATGTATATGTATATGTATATAGATAGACTATATCGGCGCGCGTGGCAGCTCGCTGCGTGTGTTTTATGCATATGAGAAGACTTTTAACTTCCGTTTAAATGGTAGCATAATGGCGGTGGTATGTAACAGGTGAGAAGGGCCGCGAGGAGAGGCTGGTTTCCGATATTACTTCTCGTAAAAATAAAGAAGCCGAATTCCAAAGCAGTGGTTGTCCACTCTGCTCCCCTCTTGCGATCTCTGCGTGCGTGCGCTTACCACGCGTTATCCGTGACACCGCAATTAAGCCTAATCTGCCCGTTGTGTGCTTTTATATTGACGATTTAATCCTCGTCAACACGTTTCATAGACACGTATGATAAAATCACTGCAAAGTTTCAATTTATGCGATTAGAAATAAAGATATTGTATACATGTGAGAAACGCGATAGAAATTAATTAAAATTATTATAATACAATTAATAATAATTTTACACATTTTTACATTAATCTCCGAATACTAATGATACAAATTACTTTACATAATATTTAAATATTACGGAATTAATGCACGCAAATTGTATTTAGATTTTTAATCAGTAGACTGGTTTGAATATTAAATTTAGTGTTTTAATGTACTAAAAAGTATAGATGAAAGAAGATGTCGACACTTATCTCGTGAGAAGAAAAATTTTTGAAAATCTTCACAGTGAAAAACTCTTCTGCCAAAAATGCTCCAATCTATCCGATAATACACAAATGATATTCCTTCCTGTTCTACGCGGAATGCGTAGCCGTGCTATAAATAATTATCGGCGCCTCATTAGTATTCCAGCGAAGGACCGTCTCTCTCTCGTGGTGCGTTTATGGGATCGAGGATTGTGTGATTGCGACGAGGACAAAAGGATGAATTTTCCAGCTCGTTAACAAGTGAAGAGGGATTCTGAAAATAAGGAAGAAACAAAGTAAATGAGGAAATGCATTTCGTCACAGAAAATTATGCCATTAAAACAGGGCGCAAAAATTTATATTCGTCAATTTTCTATCTTTTAAGATTTGTAATCAAGTTGAAAAAATACATCTATATCGATTTGAATAAATTACATTTATATGTTTAATATCCGAAATCTTATTTCATATTTGATAAATGAATTGAAATTGTTATCTAGGTTTCTCTCACTACACAGTTGAAAAATTTGTGTTAAATTATAACATGACGATATGTTAAATGGTGACACGAATATTGTGTTAATATTTTAACGTAAAATATGTAAAATTTAAGTAAACTTAAAAGAAATTTTGTTACAAAATTAACATAGTTTTAATGTAAAAATTAATTTTAAAAGTCAATTTTACATTTTATCATCCTTACTTATATTATAAAATAAAATCAACATTTTTTTTTGTAAATTTCAACAGATAAATCTTTATCACTAAAATAATACGCAACATATATTTGTTGTGCACAATTAGAAACATTTAAGTTCAATCACAACAATAATATGTTAAATTAAGATATGAATTAAATATTTAACACAACGTTTTTAACAAAAAAAAACAAATTTCTCAACTGTGTACGCATTTTTTCGAGAATAACAATATAATTAAAAGATAAAAATTCAGTTCTCGCTTAATATGTATCGAAAAAAAATGATCAAACCCGAGTTTATTTTTAGCCCATCGATTGTTTCACAATTTGCATTTAAGGGATCAACGATGATGGAGCGATTGGGAGGAAAGGGCGATGCGGCTGTGAGGATCCGAGATCCGAGGACAGTGAACAGGTGAGATTTAAAAAAGAACGCTGGGGATTACGAGGAGCGGACGCTATGGTGAAGCGACGATAACGAATGAGAGGTCTTCTTTTTATTCCTCCTGACTCTCCTGCATGATATCTTGATTCCCCTTTCGCCTTACAACGTCTGAATACACTTGTTTCGTCGGATCTTTTCTTTTGCGCACTTCCTACCTGCGTCTCTTTTTTGCACCTGTTTTTTTTCTGCCTTTTTCCCTTCCTCTTTTCTTCTCTCAAAGCGTGAAAATATATACGAGTAAAAAACCTTCAAGAATATACAAAAACAAACTTTATTTTAGGATAGATTTATTTAAGAGAAAATGTAGACTTTTCCAAAATTATTTAGGGCCCTTTTTAACTTATTTGAAAAGAGACGAAGATATATCTGTCAGGTTAAATTTAACAAAAGCCTTAGGACCGGTTGTTCCAACTCTTGATAAGTTTCACCCAACAGGTAGCATATCTTCGACCCTTTTTTTAGAATTTATCTGAAAAGAGACAAAAATATGCTACCTGTCGGGTAAAACTTACCAAGAAGTTGGAAAAATCGGCCTTTAATTATTATAAATCTTTTGTTCTACATACATTATATCTCTGGAAAGCTATATAGATACTTAAAATCTCATTCATTTATTAATCAAATTAATTGACGCGAAAGTAATCCAATTCTATTTTAATTGCGCCTTCTATTCTTTTCTCTCTCTCCTTCCAAAGTGCGCATTCCTATTCCATTTCAAAGAAAGCGCAGATAGGATGAACGCATCTATTTTAAATGCAGCTTGTGACACACACACACACACACATACAAAAACGTAAAGACTAATTTTCTAATACAATCCAGTATAATTTAATCGACCTTTCGCTCACGAGCAGAAGAGTAAAGTAAGGATTTACGCCGAATCGATCGAAATCATTTTCGGAGTATTTCGAACGACTGGGCAAAAAGTGAGAAGAGAAGAGTGCATTCGACTTAAGTGCAATCGAGATCAAACGCTCAGGTCGCATTCTTTCTTCTCTCTCTCTCTCTCTCTCCCTCGAGAAAAGACTTACCCTTTTTCTCCGAGTAGACGCCGAAAAAGAGGAATCGCGTTGCTCCTTCGTGCAATAATAATATATAAATATATAATCCGGAACAACAGAGGCACACACACGTCGTTCTCGCGTCTCTTCGAGGAGCAGGAAAAAAAAGTCCCGGCGACGCTGGGCCGTGTGTTCCTTTGTGGTCGCGGGCCCCCGCTTCGTCTTTCTTTCTCTCTCGTTTCGTTACTTCATCGTTCACATTCGTGTGTTCTTCCCTTTTTTTTCTTTTCCTCTTTCCCAACGCGGAGAGAACACACGACGCTCTGCTCCGGATGCGGGTAGGAAACGGCGAGGAACACGCGACGACGAGACGACGCTTCGGCGACGAGGCCCCGCTGCTGCTTGGCGGCTTCACCGGCGGCGGCACTGGAATGCAGACCGACAGGTTTTGAAGCCGCGGCGGAGGGACGGATGGATGCTGCGACGACGCTGGCGGTGGTGGTGGGAATGGCAGGGCTGGCTGGCGGCAGCGGTGACAGAAAGGGTCTCTCCCGCGCGCTCCCAGATTCGAAGCCCGCCTCCGAAGGCTGCACCTTCTGCACTCGAAACGGAGACGAATGTATACGCGGGCACGAAGGACGGAGAAGGAGAGAGACAGGTCACTCGTGTGCGTCGTAGCTCGAATTCCTCAGGCTCGCGCATGCGCGCGTAGGTTGGCACCTACTGCTGTCACGTGGCCTGCGCGCGCATGCGTGCGGAGACTCTTCTCCCAACGCGGCCACGTGACCTGCGCGCGCACGCGCGCGCTTTATGAATAGAGATGTAATTTGACAGGTGTCAAATGGAGAATAGAAATATCGTTAATTATGTAATGAAGCACGAGACGTGGAAATTGCGCGATGTATTTGTAAAATGTATGGTTATGTGTATTTTGATTGTATATATTTTTCAAGAATTGCTTCGGATTTGTTTACGTTTGAATCTTTTAAAGCGATACTATGCAGCTACGGCGCATGTCAGCACACTGATAAGCAGAGTTGTGTATGTCAGATTACAAATACGATTTGAAATTTCAAAAATTTATGATATGTTAAGGATTCAGCAAGATGTGTGACAATGCTCTCATCAATTATAAATAATAAGATTCTATATTTAAGTTTTTACGTTAAATAAAAAAGACCCTTGCTTTTTTATGCAAAATCGTATACAATTCCTTCTTTTGTACTCTTTCATCATCATCATTATTATTATTATTTGAAATTTCAAAAATTTATGATGTGTTTAAGGATTTATCAAGATGTGACAGTGCTCTCAATTATAAATAAGACTCTATATTTAAGTTTTTTATGTTAAATAAAAAAGACACTTGCTTTTTTATGCAAAATCGTATACAATTCCTTCTTTTGTACTCTTTCATCATCATCATTATTATTAGTATTTGAAATTTCAAAAATTTATGATATATTTAAGGATTCATCAAGATGTGACAGTGGTCTTTTTTTCAATTATAAATAAGACTCTATATTTAAGTTTTTTATATTAAATAAAAAAGACACTTGCTTTTTTATGCAAAATCGTATATAATTCCTTTTTTTGTACTCTTTCATAATTAATCATCATGCATTATTATTATTTAATTGCATGATTGTTTATTTCAACACAAAGAAACCATTTATTCTTTTATTATATTATAATTATGTATATATTAAAATATAATTAATTAAAATGTTTTACTGCATATATACATATGTGATATTTAAAGCATGTATAAAAAATATATTTCTGAAATTATTTTGTGTCAAAAAATATATAATAACATATATCAAGTGAAATATAGAAGACTACAGAAAGATTCTCGACAAATATATATATGACTGTCACTTCCAGAGAATCCCTTATCAAATCTGTCACTTCACTGCACTATGATATTTTTGTTTATGTATGCGAGGAACGTCAGCACATCTCGCTCGCGGTTCCGTGTATCGTCACATAAGTGTAATATAAGTCGAATCAGCATTCCTCTCGCTCTTAGATCATACGATCACAATTATATTGAAATACATACCGCAGGATCCAGACACTCAAATCTTTTATATATGTTTCGCAAATTTGTGCGTGACTCGATAATCATGTCACCAGCTCTTTTCGTCTCGAGTTGCACTTTCTCGTCGTAAACTCGCCATCAGAATGACAGATATCAGGATACATAATTATGACAATACGATGCATGCAATATTTTATTGCTGCGATTTTATTTCCCTGTCTGATTTTCCGTTAAATTAAAAATAAGAAAAATAATATATTATAGGTTAATACTTTTTGATCGAAAATGTATTTAAAAAGATTATATTCTCTTTTTACCTGTATTTTTGCATTTTTATTCAGTGTTTCTTCTTTCTTTCTCTCTCTTTCTATATATATATTACTCATCGTTTTATTTTAAATATAAAATGCAAACAGTTAAAAAATCTTAGCTACCAAGGTAAAAAATGTAAACGGAATAGTCTGTCATTTTTGTACAAAACCGTAAAAAATTCTGGAGCAGCTGGTAAATCAAGTGGTAAATTATTTTGCGTTAGCAACTTTTCCGACTGTAGGTAACGATTTACCTACAATCGTCATTTATGTTAGTTTTGCATTTTTACTGTCGCGAAACTCGACAGTTCATGGCGATTCGCGGTTCCGTGAAGATCTGTCTATCCGGATCTGTCAGCGATTCATGCGAGTTTGACAACCAGCTGTGACCCTCGTAGACCTGTGCGTGTCTTATTACACAACTGAATAATACCTCGAGCGGTTTAACGATAAGAACACGCGAGAAGGAAATTAGCTTCAACGAGCCACAATTGCGGATGAGCATTTTATCAATTGCGCCAGATTAAATATGCACAAAGATGTTGATTTCTTAGTTAACTTAAATTTTATTACACGTATTTTGTTTTCTCGACGTCTGTTGTCGCAGTTGAAATAAATGTAGTTCGGCTGTTTTAATTAAATATGTAACTTTCCTTATATTGCAATTGATATTGCTCATTTTTCATATTACATCATATTTTACGTATCATAATAAAGTTTATTTCATACTTTACAATTATTTCTTTAAAAGAGAATCTCTAGCATTTTGAATTAATTTATCAGTTTTTTTTTTTTACTACCAGGTGTCACAATGAAGAAGTTATTAATTTACTGAGGCTTGGTGGATTAATAAAAAATGTCAGAATCCAAAGACAAACAAGTCGAACAGTGCGACATAGTTCTTCCAAGACAAGGTCTATTATATGAAGAGAACACGTTGGATTACATACTCTGTAAACCAAAGTTGATTCCATTAAAATCGGTCACTTTAGAGAAACTTGAGAAAATGCAAAGGGATGCGGAAATCAAAGTCAAAGAAGCACAAGAGGCAGAAACCAGTCCCGATATAAATGCATAAGTATCCAGTGATAGTTTGAAAACTTGTAGAAAACTATTCATTAGATTTCGTTTGAGAGAAAAGGCGGGATGCTTGGTGCATTCTGGACAGAGATCTTAGTGGCATTTTTGCTGGCTGCAACTTTGCTAATCAAATATGCAAATGTGTTTCGCATTCACATTATAGTCACTGTCTCTGTACTGATAGCCTGGTATTTTTCTCTCTTAATCATCTTCATAATACCTTTGGATGTTTCTTCGGTAATTTTATAATTATTTGTATAAATTAATGTAATATGTACAATTTTTTTAAGAATACAGTTTTCCTCTGGAATATAAAATAGATAAATTAATAAAATAATTTCTTATTTGTGCAGACTGTATTCAGGCAGTGCGTAGAGCAGAACATACACAACAACACTAAAAATGTTGATAACACAACCTCTACACCAATTGTTACGTGTAAAGAACCTTGGCCAAATGTGCCAGATCATTTATTTCCAAATCTGTGGAGGATAGTTTACTGGACATCACAATGCCTGACATGGTTAATACTCCCATTGATGCAATCTTATATAAAGGCAGGAGACTTCACTGTACGCGGAAAACTAAAATCTGCTTTAATAGATAATGCTATATATTATGGCAGTTATTTGTTTATATGTGGCATACTTTTAATATACATTGCATTAAAACCTGGCTTAGATCTTGATGGGTGAGTTTTGCTAGTTGATAACAAATATATTAAAATGATGAATATTCATATTATAATATAGGCAAATATGTAAAGTTTAAAACTTTAATAGATAAATACATATATTTTTTTAATTGTTTTAGGCAAAAATTGAAAGCTATAGCATCATCTGCATCTAATACATGGGGTTTATTCTTATTGGTTTTATTACTTGGATATGCTCTCGTAGAGATACCTCGAGGATTGTGGAAACGCAGCAAACCTGGATATACTTTAAATTATAGCTATTTCAAGATAGCAAAATTAAGCTTAGACAAATGCGAAGCAGAGGAAACAGTAGATGATATACTTGAGGTATACAAGATAATATTTACAATATGCATTTGTAATATGAGAATCCTGCAGTCTCATGAATAAAAAATTACCATTCTAGTCACTACAAATTGCAACAATATCTATTAGGCCTGGTCACCCATTCCATTGTAACTTGGAAACAATTTTACAAAAGATACCTACAGAATTGATGGATAGAATGAACAGAAGACAACTGCCAGATGATACTCCAACAGATACACCCACTGAAAAATCTTTAATTCGATTACATAGACAGGTTTGTATTACAGCAAATATAATATTACATATTTACATTTCTATATATTGCTATTGTTTCATTTTGCAGACTATAAAAGCATTACAGACTTTAGAACGTGTAGAGACTCAGTGGAATATTTTAGTAGACAAGATTTTTAATTTGGAAGATGTAGCGAAAAATCAAGTAAGTCATGATAGAAGGTTTAAACCATCTTTTCCAGTATATGTCTCGCTACCCATTCGTATTATTTACAATCCTGTTATCGGTGAGTATATCAATATTTCTTATAATTTTATATAATTTATGATTTTTGATCTTATGATTTTATAATTTACATTTCAGAATGGTACTGGAAATGTATCATAAAGGGATATGTTTTGAAAATAGCTGCTATTTGTGCTGGTTGTTTGTCAGTGGTTGTTGTATGGTCAGAAGTAACATTCTTCAACAAGTCTCCTGTGTTGTCGATATTTGCTCAATTTCTGAATTTAGCGAAAAGAGACTATGATTATGTTGGAATGGAGGTAAACATTTGTATCCTATCTTATATTATATTATATATAAAATGTATACATATATATTACCATTTATTATACCTGTATTCGATTTTCAGATATTATCTACGTTTATTATTGCGTACCTTTGTTATTGCGCTTATTCTACCGTCTTAAAGATCAGAGTGTTAAATCTTTATTACTTGGCACCTTACCAACAAACGAATGAGTATAGTCTCATATTCAGTGGTATGATGTTTTGTCGCTTAACTCCGCCCATGTGTCTTAATTTTCTGGGACTTATTCATATGGATTCGCATATCATCAAGACTCATATTTTAGAAACACACTATACACAGGTAATATTATTTAAACAATCTATGAATTCGTATAAATTTATAGATTTTTTAAAAATATTATCATTCTTTCTTCTTTTCTCAGGTGATGGGTCATATGGATGTCATTTCTATAATATCAGATGGCTTTAACGTATACTTTCCTATGGCCATTCTAGCATTCTGCTTAGCGACATACTTTAGTGTAGGTAGTAGATTACTTTCCATGTTGGGTTTTCAACAATTTCTCGATGATGATGAATTCACGACAGACCTTGTAGATGAAGGAAGGGAGCTTATGAAAAGAGGTAACATTAAATTAATAAATAATTAATTAAATCATTTTCGTAATTATGCTCAATGTTCTATAGTAGAACAGAAGATGACAGAAATTTGCTTATTATTCTAGAGAGGCGCAGACGGCAAAGAGAAGAAGATTCTATTTACAGACGTGAATTGCAAGAGAGATTAAATATTTCGGGTTCAGGATCGCGTTACAGAACATCTCGACAAAACACAGATACTGGTATGTATAAATAATATTACATATAATATAAATTACACATATATAGTGCAAATAATATTATCATTAATAATTAAATCTTTTCAGTGCGACCGTTAAAACGAGATGAATCGATTGAATCGGCAAGAGCAGGTCTATTGCACGATTTCGATCCTGCGGATTATTACATTGGTATGACATTTAGAGGAGAGAATTACGGTGCGAATAATCATTACGACGGGGAAAATCAAGGTGACAATGATTCATACGATTCGAGTATGCACTCGAACATGAATGCATTTTCCACAAATCGCGTGGGTCCTCCACCTAGAGGATTGTTTGACGATATTTAAAGGATTGCGGTTTCGTAGATACAGCTTTGGTACAAGAATCATATGTAAATTGGCTTTTAGAGATTTACATTATTTAGACATTTATACCAAGCAACGCGACGATTTGTTGATACGATAAAATATGAGAATAATGAATTATATAGTAGCACGAGTGAATTTTTAAACGGGACGTAAAAATATAGATTTTACGTGCCTGTAACATTTTGAATCCTAAAGTACTAAATAGCAGCACAAATTCAAGTAAAATTTTATCATAAAATATTCATTATAATATATTCATATAACTCATTACGCATGAACAAGAACATTCAAGAGTTGCGCTTTTTTTTTTTTTTTTTTTTTTTTCTTCCCCAAAGTAATTACTACGAATCTAATAATGCAATGAATATTCCGATTTAGTACCAATATGTATATTTATTACGTTTATTAGAGAATAAATATATTTTTATTTCTCTCTCGATTATCTCTCTTTAAGTTTTGTATAATTTGGTTTATGTTAAAGCTAATAAATCATTTATAATTTTTTTAACCAATATCTATTTGAAACACTTATTCATTAATAGCTAACTTTTTTGTCAATAATCTAAATATTTTTTAATAGTTTATTTATACACATTTATCGATCTTTCTCTTGATATTACAATCTATATATTTTTAACTTGTCTTATTTGATTTACATAAAAATATTAGGCGACTTAAACATATAATGACTTAATTCTTGGTTTTATATACTTGAAAGCTTATACATTTTTTATTTGTTTTAATTATTTTAATACTCTGAATAATTTATATTCAGAAATTCTGGAGTACAGGATTAGCAATGGAATAAAGAAACAAGTTGGCTGAATGGCGATAGGAAAATTTAATAAGAACACAAGTCAGTATATGTAACAATAATAAAACACATCAGTGTAAAAATATGCGTCATGAGTAATTTACAAATTTAAACATTTGGCATTTTATATATTATAAACGCGTTTCGATAAATATAGAAATAAATCTTTTAGTCGTAGCTATAAGTTTTGTCATTTTGTTATAAATTATTCTTTATTATATATATATATAAATCATTCTTCGCATAATTATACCTTTCCCATATATTTATGACAATCTAAATATATAAGATCTACAATTTTAATCTATGAGATTTATCTTTACCTAACAATTTTGAAAAATATCTTAATAAACATCCTCTCTATTTTTTCTTTTTATTTACACATGTACACTAAACCACAACAACTTCTCTATTCATGTGTATAAATCTATTATATATCAATAAGTATCTCATAAATGAGGCATTATTAAAGCTAATTTCCCTGCATTTCTAATATTGTAAGTGCAATTAATTGTAAGAATTATATTCGATATATCACTAGATAACAACAAATAAAAAGTTAAATTTTTTCAAATCAATTGAACACATGTCGATTATTTTAATCTTAATAAAAAGTATTTTAAAATAACCACACCGCACTGCCTGTAGATTTTAAAAATATCTAAAATATAATAATTTATAAACAATATATCAATGATGTACGAGTTAAAATTTGTATGAATGCACATGTCTGGTACATGTTTGATTCGATAGACACAGACAGTTCATAGTATTTAATTTTTGCTGATAGCTTTTTGCGAATTTAATTGTTGAAATAGTTAATAAATTTTATATTACAGAATACATTTTCTAGTCATTAATAAATCGGTGAATTATTAACTGACAGGATATTTGATAAACACTTGTAAAAATATATTTTAATAACAAAATATTAGCTATTTTGCATATATGTGATTTGGTTCGTTCTATAAATATTTTGCTGATTACGCTTCGAGATATAAATTAACGTTCAGTTAATGTATCACACATGCACAATCTATCATGTATAACATTTAATATAACATGTGATTAAATTTTTTAGTATCTCATATTTTCAATAGATTTATCAAACAACAAGCAACAACTAGGTAAAATAAATAATGTAAAATGTGATACTCACGAGAATAAGAAATGATAACGCGTAGACTATTAATATTCTGACAATCCTTATACGTTCTGAAACTCTGTTCTTAGCATCTTTCTTATGCTCGGAACTTATTAATTCCGGCGTCAACAATAACGGCTCCAACAACAATAAGCTTGATCTGTTTCGTCGATGTTCGTAGTCCTTCGATTGATGCATTAAATAAATTGGCGAATCTTGCGAATTATTGTCGTTATTATTATAATTAATGCATTTCGTGCAGTTTATCATAGTGCTACGATCGCGATAAAACGTCATGGATGCACAGCCAGCTTTCGATAATCTTACATAATAGTTATTCACATAGCGATGATATAGCTGGGTGTTCGCAACGACGTCGTAGCAAGGGTAATTTAAAACGTAAATATTCGGCTTCAATAGCGATCTCAGATCGACGATGTCTCGAGGCCAGCAATGAGAGTAAAATATACCCGCGACGTTAGTTTTTGTGTAATTGTAGATCAGCATGTAGTCTTGCAGATTTGGATCGTATTGCATACGGAGAGGATCGTTGGGTAGATCCTCTCGCGGGTCACGAAATGTGAAGCACGAAACGTCATCGCGTTGACACAGAACCACCTCTACGGCAAACAACGATTCCTTTGTATATATTAAACGATCGGTGTACACCGGGCTGTATTTCGTTCTCGCGCATTTCTCGCAGATTTCATGCCGCGAAAGAAACAGGGTATCTATTGAAGCTTTCATTGTGGTGGGACTATACTTCTCATAGTGATCTTGAATGTTGTACTTGTGCAAGCTACTATACGGCTTCTTAATTGCTCTAATTTCTTCGTAAACATTCGTTCGAGCTTCATTCTTTTCATCATCATTTCCAATCGTTGCGTATTGTCGATTATAATTCTTAGCTTTCCATTCAGCCTCGGAATATGTTTCGTTTCTTGCATCTGGTGAAATCTCTGTCGAATCACTGCTGACGCAATGAAAAATATTGTATATCGGGTCATCAAGATGTAGGTCATATTTTTTACCGATTACGGAAATCGATTCGTTCTCAACAGCTTCGCTTCTTCCAGATGTTATATCAGCAGTGACTACGGTTTGTGTATCTGTTCCATCTATGTGCTTATCAGTATAATATGCGTGTGTTTCCAATGTGTGCGGTGTCGCTATATCTCCGGTGGAAAAGCGTATATTAGTGCCATCCACTTTGTTCCAAGTATTACTATTATATTTTAATTGCTCTAAGTGTAATTGGCGGTGGTGAACACACGCAAAGTGATATCAATTTTCAGATCCTAATTCTCGTTTGATCTTCTGCAAGTCGTAGAGAATCTGGATTGCGACAAACAGATACAAAAAATTATAGTGTTTTTACACATATGTGCCTCTAAATATAATGACGCTTGTTAATTATATTAATTAATAAAAAATACAGTGAAAGATTATTTGCCGTGAATACAAACCTCTATTATAGCTGAGGCACTCCATGCTTGAGTGCGACAGCTATCCTTACAATAAGCTCCATCCTTGTTCGTAAGTTCAGGTAAGCCTCTCCAATAAGTAGTAGACGCTTCGACAAAGTGTCGTGAAATGATAGCTTCGGTTGATACGACCGTACGATATAATTCGTCCTTTTTGCCGATTAATGACGCAAAATGCAAACGTGCTCGCAGGAAATATCCTATTGGCCAGAGCCACTCCTAAATAAAATAGATTAAAAGTGCACATTTTATACATAAGAGTAATACATTTATCTCAATTCAAATCTCAATCTTGAGAAATATACGATTATGATTGAAAATATACTCACGGGTCCCTGATGATAATTCCATCCTTGCGCTACTTTGGTATCGGTGCTATCATTGCTGTTATCATAATAACCGTTGTATGCCCAATCTGCAGAATCCAAAGTCTTCATTCCCAATGGACCTAACAATATCTCTTCTGCTTGCTTCAATGCGGTCCAAGCGTGATGAGGATCAAATAATTCCGGAGCCTGTTCAAGTAGGCATTATAAACATAGTTATGGCTATTACTGAATTTTTTAAATATAGGACATACTGTGCTTATTCTTTTACAGGGAGATTTGTTACAAAATATTGCAATACTCACGGCAACCATAGCAATAGGGAAGTTGGGTCGCAACTGATAATCCGCCCATTCTTGTGTCGCTCCATGACTGTCCTTGAATATACCTCGTCGATGAATCAATTCGGGTTTCAATTCGTCCTTCATCGGAATCTCGTTCACATAAAAGTATTTCTCGAAGTTTGTCTGAATTCTATCAGCCCATTGCTTGTAACTCCAAGTTATTGTTTTTCCTGCGCATTTCATATGATAGTTATAATCAGGGATAATGTATCGCTGATTACACAATTACGCATTGAGATATTTTCGATGCTATTTCCTTACCATCGCGACATTTACGCTGAACACTACCATATGGGAAAAGATTTTGCTTGTACAATTCAGCCAGAAAAGTGAGGGCGCACTTGCTCAATCCGACCAATTCTACGGCAGAACCGTCTCTGGGAGTGGCCGGCTTGCCTTTGTTTCCGGCTTTCTCAGAAGAGCCCATCTTGTCCATCCAAGTACCGCAGTTGGCGTCGTTGCCGCCGAAAACGAAACCTGTGTCAGGATGAACTCCAATTTGATTGTTAAACCCACGGTCTGTCATATGCTCGTCGATCTGTTTACCAGCGTTTCTTTCTCGGAAGCACAGACCTTGGAAGTGTACTGTGAGAGCTTCTTGGATTACTTCGTATAATGGTTGATCCTGAAATTATTTTTACAAATAGCATAATATGCAATCTTAATCGTCAAAGTTATAAAATAATTGCTTTTATATGTTAACTTACATGTTGGCCCGCAGGTAAAGCTGGTGAATCGTCAGTCGGAAATAATCTCGAGACTTTATCGGATAGAATGTTCAAGCCATCTGGGACTTCCTCGGTGTAACATTTTATAGTGTAAAGCCACCACCATATTGCGTCACGACAATTGTATCTATTATAGAGTGAAATCAAAGATAAAGCTCGAATATATTGAAACTTTCTAATATACTGTTTTAAAATGGCATGAATTGTCTGATAAAACTATACCTTGCATTGGTTCCCTTGTCGAGTAAATTTGGTATTAGACCATGTCGCAAAGTTCCGGCAAATCCGAGAATTATAAATCTCGCTTCGACATGCCTGCCTGTTAGAAGTAACAATCCTCTCAGAGCGATGAAAGTATCTCTACCCCAATTTCTCATGTAGCCTGTCGTGAAATGTGGCAAGCCTGCTGACAATGTTAAACATATCTGCTTAGTTTCTCCATCACAGATTTTAGTCTTTGGTTTAGGCTCATTGAGATTCGGCGATAAATCAGGCAATTGTGATGATCTTACTATGCCACCCACTTGTACGGAGACCAAGCTCAATAACTTGATAAATGTAGTTCCATTCTTTACGAAACTGGAATAATGTTTGAATTAATAGCAAATAATATATATAAAATTAACACAATTCTTTCAATTTTTATAAAAATGTAGAATTTATAAATTTATTAACAAGTCGACTTAAAATATTTAGATCTAATACTTACTTTGACATTAAACTGTAGCAATGATTTAAAAGTTTCATATAAACATTCACGATTATAACGTCAAAATAACTCGGCACCAAGTATCTCGGAATTAATTTAAATGGTTCCATCGCTTCTTCGAGCCATATCGCAAAGGGTTTAGTACCATCATCTTCTTTTAGACGTTGCCACACATAATCTGTCAATTTTTCAAAATTTTCATTGCATATTCTTATTATCATTATTCTTATCAAAAGCAGTTTATATTATATTACCTATCAACCAGTTACCCTGTCTAAGATTGACACATAGAGGATGTCCCAGATCGTTATTCGGACGAATATCAGCCAGTAAGGATACAATACCTAATTTTGAAAATAAGTGGCATTTATTAAATAATATGATTATAATATATATGCTAAAACTATTATGTAATTCATAATACCTTGTAATCCAGCGTATACCAAATTTCCATATCCTGGCACATTGTACACCCCAAATTTACCATAAGTTTCATCTCGTTCCTCTTCATCACATCTATATAAAATTTTATTCAAATCTGAAAACTCTATTTGAGAGATTATATTGTCTAAGTCTGATTTCTCGTTCGAAGTGAGATGTGAAATAGTACTTTGAAGTTTCATTAAAGCAGGTTTTATATTCGCATGGAGAGCCACTCTGAAATTAAATTCGTATACGTTAGTATAGTAGATTTAACGCTGAACTCAATATATTTTAGAGATGAACATTTTATACCGTATAGCTATAACAGAACCAGGTTGGAAGTTTACGAAATTGAGTTGGGTGTTCTTAGGATCGCCGGAATCAACCTTTTCGATTATCGTAGAGTCACAGCATTGTATGTGCTGTTTAAGGTTTACCGTATATTCGAATAATCCATTTATAAAATTTTCATTTTTTGTATATTTTTGTGATAAATTGAAAGGTGATTTCCCATTTCTGTAAAGCAGTATTTATATAAATTAATAAGCTTTATATACATATAGATTTTCTTTTAAAAATAAAATTGGTTGCTTACCCTGCATCTATGTGTGAAAGTGATGCTTCCAAAATAATTTCCTCCACTACACCCTCCACTATCAAAGGTCTTATATGTCTTCTCAAGTCATGAGCGTTCGAATCCGGATGTTTAAACGCCGTGAACGCGACCAGAACTACACTCTCGTGACTAGTTGGTGAATGTCTTGTTACAGCTACTACATCAGTGTCCATTTGATCGACAAATACCTATAAAAATAAATTTATCATTAGTAATCAAATGTATTAATTCTTTTGCTATACATATGCATTAATACAAATAATTTATACCTGCGAAAATTCTCTCTCGCCGAGCATGTAATGTAGATCGTTTAATGCTTTTTTAGCTTTAATTATACCAGTTTTTGAATTAATAAACTTAATATTATTCGTCGAATTGTCATCATCCAACCAGCAAGTGTATAGCCTTTCTTCATCTACTACATGTATCTGTAGAAAATAATACATTTCATTAGAAATCTTTTATAGTATGAAGCAACAACAGGGATTCCACTCCTTTTTTATTTAAAAAAAGTAAAAAAGTGATTCAAAATTTTCAAAAAAGTGACTTAAAAATGACTTTTTATTATAACAAAGCGATACTAAAAAATAACTTTTTGTTAGAAAAATATACATTATAGTAAAATAAAAATTAGAAATAGGAGTTTTAAATAATTTAAAAGTCTATGAAAAAAATACCATGATACTATAATAGTACTATAAAACATTTTATTTCTATAATTATTATGCAAAATAGAAGGCTGTGAACAAAAATTAAGCTGTATACTGATTTTCCTATATCTAATGCAAATAATAATAATTAAACATTATACTCCATAAAATATATGTATACATATATAAATGCATATATAACAATGTTTAAAATCTTAAATTATACTTAAAGAAACTTAATTGAAAGCTATTAATTAATTAAAAATTATAAATATTAATAAAATATAAAATAATCTTATAAAAACTGCATATTAATACAAAATACAAAAATTATTTCTTTCTTTTGTTGCTTAAAAGTTGCGTTAACAATGTTGCCTTTTTCTTTTCTATTTTTAATTCACTAGTCATTAATTTATCAAATTTCTCTTTCTCAATATCTTTTAATTGTTTGTAAGTATCTAAAAGCTCTTCTGCTACTTTAGCTCCTTGTAGATCATTTTTTGATAAACATTCTTTTAAAAAAGTGACTAAAAAGTGGCTTTTCGACGTAAAAATATGAAAAAAATGATCAAAAGTGATATTTCTTGTAAAAAGTGACAAAAAGTGACTTAAGTGACTACCCTAACAGCACACATATCCCGAAGATGTTCAGAGAACATCCTGAGGATGTTCGAATGTCCTCTGAATATCCTCTGAATATCTTTCGGATATGTTGTGCTCTTAGAGTACAGTGGAATCCTTGCAACAAGATAAAAATTCATGCAAAAGTTTGTTCTTACGTGATGGGGCACTAATTCATCGTAACCCCGAGTACTTCCACTGGCACAGCACGCCATCGACACAAGCGCAGCGCTTGGAAGTAAATCAAAAGTACTTCGTTTCTCCACTGGAGAAGGATTGTCGTGAGTCACGTCCAGGAACATAGCGTGAGCTATACTCGGCACTAACGGCCGCTTTCGTGACTGCAGAAATGCTCCAACTGGTTCTCCTCCATATCGATATACCAATCTCCCTTCTTCATGGCTGTCCCATGCCGACATAGCTTCTACAATGCAAAGCTTTTAATATTCTAATCTTCTAATCTTCTAATCTAATTTTATATAATTGTTTTAAAAATAATGAAGTAAACAGTATTTCGACATGTAAAAAGATTGCTAGATACTTTTGCTTTCATTCTGAAGATATTATTCTGAAGAATGTTATAATGATATACTAGCATGTAGACCAAATTTATATTGTATAAATAACAACCTCTGATTAAAGAAGTAATGCCAAGACGATTTACAAAGATGTTATCTTTTTGATCGGAATTGGTAAACAATTCTGCAACAACATAAAGATTTGGACGAATTCGTCGTGCAGCATCAAGCATATACTGCAAAAAAAAATCATATTATTTAGTAAATATTCTAATAATAAAGTTGAACTAAAGATAGAATTGCGATATACTTCAGCAACGGGAATCGGGGTGGAATGGCAATTGTCCAGTCGAACACCATCAAATATTTGTGCTGTTTGTTCTACATAAGTTGTCATATGTTGCCACAAGAATGGACAATCTTCTGGTTTCTCCCCATATCTATTATAGTTACATTAATTATATATTATACTTTTCATTAATAATATATCAAAACTAGAACATTTAAACAGTAATTTTTACCTGAGTTTTACGCTATCTCCCCAAGCAATAAGTTCCCTTCGAATGTAGACGTTAGAATCAGGGTCTGCAAAATTCTTCAAAGGATCGCCATTCATGACCCAACCATTGTGAGCCATGAGATAACATCCATTATCTGAATACATTACGTCTTCTCTTTCTATCAAAGATGCGGGTGCTCCATAATCAGTGAAGTATCTATGGAATGTAAATGTCATGTCAAGAAATGTGCACGCGAGTTTGCAAGATTTTATAATATTTAGATATATGAGTAAAATTATACCTAGGAACAAGAGGATTCTTTTCGCTAACTTCCTTAATTCTTGGCCCATCATGTTGTACTCTGAAGTATCTTATACCAGCAATAGTATTTTCAACGGCAGCATTCAGATGATTTTGTACATTATTGCTAATAGTTTCGTTGAGTTCTTGCAATTTATTTTTCAAGTTTTCTGCACATCGTTTCAAACGAGTCTCCTCGTCAAAACAATCAACTCTGTAAAATAAAAGAATCGTGCATAAATATCTGCAAGCATATAATCAAATACTTAGCCATACCATCTTGAATATCTTACCTGTATACATTATATTTTTTCAAAGCAAGTTGCATGTTTATGGTTGATTTCAATCTGCGAAAACCAGGATCTTGAATTATCAAAATGTCCTCAACTTCCATATTATTCACATCTTGTGGCATTTCATTGCGAGCCAAGTTCAGGAATTGCATTATAACTTCGTTGGTATCGACAATGTACAGCTCGTATATCTTTACAAGCGGCAAGAAATATGTGTGAAGAGCGTGACGAATCGCCTGAAAACAAAGTACATGTAGAAAATGTAAAACCGATTAGATAAAATATAATAAATAACGAAAATTTAATTATATTGTAGTGACGCATAAAATATTTTGTAACTTACATTCAAATGATCTTCAGTGTCGACTACAGTAGGAATACCTTTAAATTCCCATTCTCCAGCAGCTACTTGTATCGTTAATTCAAACAATGCTGCATCCAAGATATACGACGGACGTAAATGAGGACTATTAACGCAGTTGTATGTGCACTCTGGATGAGAAATTAGAAAAGGACTCTCGTTTGCGGTATGATTCAGAACAATATCACATATGCTTAACATCTGTAACAAGATTGAAGATAATATATTTAATTATATCAAAGAATATAAGTTTTATTTAATAATAGGAATATTCTAGAAGACTATAATTTACCTTCCATTCGGTTCGCATTTTATTTACAAACTGCTCAACATCATGATAAGTAATTATTTGATTATTTCCATTAAAAATAGGATTGAGTTTCGTTTGATCTTTTAGACTGTATGACGATTTAGATAGTCCCAGTTCCTGAAATGTTAACGAGCTCGTTATTTATTACAATTATTTTTTATACAATTATATATTAATTCTGTTAATATTACCTGTATCGGTGTAAAATGGATCATATTATATCCAGAATTTCGTGCCACCAATAATTTATCTTCCCATGTAGAGAAAGGTCCTAAACACTTTGCCAAAACTGTTTGAATTTGAATGCAATCCAAAGGTAATTTTTTTTCATCTTCACTTATTTCTAATTCAGGATCTACTAGCAGGTATCCCGATGCAACAGGTTTGATATGCCCTTTGACTCTGTGAAAGATATATCTCGTTATTAAGATGTAAAATTGTGTATTACATAAATAGCTATTCATAATATTTAATACTTACTGATCAGTGACATAATAATGAAATGAACCAGGCAAAGTTAAATGTATACTTGCTGATTCCTCAATCCATTGTAATTGATAGTAAGTATGCCTTTCAAATTTTTTATCATTCGATAATGGGTGATTTATAAAAACATCAAGTCTTTTTCCAAGAAGGGAAGCCCCGAGTTTAAATTCAACTTTCCAGCCTGCATGAGAAATATCGTTTAATATAAAAGCATATTATAATAATAGAGAGAAATATAATTGAAAAAAATATATAATTATGTTTAATGTTTTATTAATATTTTGAAAGAAAAATGAAATCTCTTGAAAAACCTTTTTTCAATCTGTACAATATCCCATCCAGATGTTCTCCATTATTCACAGTTAGAATTCTTACTTGTTCATAATTTTCACTTGTAGATTGTGGTGATGAAGCGTGTTGTTGCATATTTTCAATTATTGTCTGTAATTGTAAACATTTTTATTAGATATACTGAGAAAATTTTATTTTACCTTCATCAGTTTGTAAAATATAATTCTTAAATATAATTAAATATTTTCCTACAAATTGTTAGTTTACATAATTATTTATTTTATAATATGATATCTCTTTTCAAATCATTGTTTAAATATGAAATTTAAAAAGATATATATATATACACAATATAAAAATACAATTAAATGACTTAATAATATAGAATTTGTGGAAAAGCTTAAGAAAAATATCTTCTAAGAGATAATACTTACATCTCTCAAACGTAGAAAACGAATATGTACTTAAGAGACAGAATATAAGCCTTAATATATAAGTTATTGGCATAAAGCAGTTAGCATGCGTGTATAATATTACATTACAGTGTTCTGCTATGCGAACATATATAATGACTGTAGCTATTCTCTTACTCTATTTATACTAGGATTACAATACCAGTAGTAATGTGACAACTGCTTCCTGCCATAAGACTTGTTCTGTTAATTCTAATAAATCTAGATAAGTATATAACAATCTATCCTTCTGCCATCAAACAATTGTATTGCTAAAACTTTGAGCTGAGAATGTGCAGTTTCCACATTTTACATATTATTTAAATATATATGTTTGCTGTAAAACTTACATTGTTTAGATTTTGAGTAGCTTCTACAAATATCTGTTTACGAATACATCGTTCACAGTATCTATAAATCCTTAAGAGTATTCTTCTTATATTGTAAAAAAAGCGTTTTACTCTTGAAGCCATCAAAGCGAGTAAGACAAATTTAATTGCACTTAATTGACTGAAGTAAAAATTTTATTAAGGAATTATTGCAGTATTTGTCCACATTTTATTAGATATGTAAATTAAACCCTTTATGCGTGCTACCTATAACAGATATATATAATAAAGACTAATAGAAATGTATGTAATTATGAAATATAAATTATATGAAATGCCTGCCATGTATAAAAAATTAAAGACAAAGATTTTTTAAATATCAACTTCAAACACTTATAAAATAACTTACAACATTTATATTTACAAAGGTATATAGAAGAATTTTATATACTAATTTAATTTAAGAAAAAAAAATTAATAGATTAATCCTATTTTTGTTATATTAACATAGTTATATTTACACATGAATATATATAATTATAAATTCATAATTTTTATTAACATATTTTAGTTTACACAAATGACAAATACATGTAAGAAACTAGCTAATGTAATTATGCAATATTACTTACTATCACTGTTTTATGTATCACGCATATTTTTTATTGATGAAGACAAATATAAAGATATTCATTTATGTGATAAACTTAGGACAAAGAATTATGATTTAAAAGTAATAATTAGTAATATTAGAAAAAATATCAATAAATTGCATACCTTTATGCAAATATGCAACTACGTTTGCATGCAAACATAGTCTAGTATTGTAAGGGAACATATGTAATAGAGAAACACAAGATTATTAAATACATATGTAACAATATTAATAATGACCAAAATATATGATTAACATATAAAATCTAAATGTCATTCATGCCCAACGGAGGAATAACACTCTCATATCACAAATATAAATATGTACATTAAAAGACAATCCAACAAATATTTTCACAAGACACACTAAGCATGAATCTCAGTCATAACAATAATTAAAACTCGATTTTATGCATAAACATGCAATCTATTAAAGAAACACTATCCAACATGTTTACTGAGAAGTTCTATATTATTTCTTGTTATTTGAAAATTCCTACCTATAAAAATATTGGTGGTAGAATGTAAAATAATCGCGTAGCACATTCGTTCTCATTCGAAAGATCGGCAAGAAAAGATCGGCAGACAAGTTGACCTCTACTTTATTAAGGACAGAGCCGTGAAGGTCAACAAACACGCATAGCCGGGTAGATATAAGACGGCAATCACGATATGGACTTTGCATTACAAAATACTTTTTTAAAATATAACACACAAATTCAATAATTATAATTGCCAGATAAACTTTAAAGAGAATATTGAGAACAAAATTGCATTTTTCCAAATGACTGACATACCATGATTTATTTTTAGGCTATTTTTTTATTATAGACTCTCAAAACGCAGTTTTGGTTTGAGGAAAATTTCAGATGCGTTCAAAAATTGACTCACTGAGTGAAGTGAGATTTAATTGACCAATTAGGGCAAAGAAATTCTCGTTCTGATTGGTTATTCAAAAGCCACTCTATTCCGAAAAGTCAATTTTCGAACAAGATCAAAAATTCTAATTTTGGCGGGAAAATTCAAAATTAATCGTGAAAATCTAGAGATAGATTTATTAATCTTTTTATGAAAGAATAAATAAAAATATAATGAATAAAAAGCAAATAATCACAAATTAAATTAGAAACTATACTTTTGGTTATTTAAAAGACATTCTACTCCGAAAAGTCAATTTTCGAACACGACCAAAAATTCTAATTTTGGCGGAAAAATTCAAAATTAATCGTGAAAATTGAAAAATAGATTTATTAATCTCTATATGAAAGAATAAATAAACATATAATGAATAAAAAGCAAATAATCATAAATTAAATTGGAAACTATAGTTTTGACAATTTTCGAGATACATATAATTGTAAAAAAATCTAATTTTTCAAATTTAATTAATTAATTTATCATTTCAAGCTTTCTGAAAAAATCATAAATCGCGCCATGAAAATGGCTTCCTGTCGCTTTTGCAAATAATCGACGAGAGAATTCTAACCTCAACAACGCACGAAAAATCGCAATTCACGGCGAGAATATTTTTAGCAATATTTGTTTACGTATATCTGAGATGATAAATAAAATTGACGAAAATTGTGTTCTTCCCGAAATTCATATCCAGACGATATTAAATATTATTTATCAGAAATGTTACACGTGCTTGAATTTTTTCTTCACACATATATTTTTATTATAAAAAATTTTAAATAAATAAATAAATATATATATATATATAAAATAAAAAATATATTCTCAAATATATATCGCGAAGACGTGTCGTTTCTTCTCTAACCTCAATCGAATTGCGATTTAGCGCCCTCATGTAAAAAGAAGTCGCAGCGAGGGATGCGATGCATGTGCATATTCGTGCATATCGTAATTACAGCACAATCGACACTCCTTATTACGTGAACGATCGAGACGCATATTTAACGATTTAATTGGTGAAATTTTCAGCTCGCCAGCCACGCTGCTAATTACGCCAAGTGTCACGGATAATTCCTGTCATCCGAGCGGCGCATTCGCTCTCTCTTTACAGTCTTTTTCAAAATGGCAGCGGCTACGGACGAGCTGAGTAAGTGCTCCTCGAGAGAAATACTCGATTGCATCGCGAAACGTCGTTCTAATGCCTGTAATGGGATCGTAAATTACACGTTTCACCAGCCGTTGACTCCGACATGGATGTCGACCTGGGCGAGAATGTGTTCTAGCATTTTACGGATCTCGAGAGACGAACTCGATTGTCATGCTGCTCTTTAAAAAAAAAAAAAAGAAAGAAAAAAAATATATATATATAAATTTTTTTAAAACTCGTGTAGATTTTTAGCTTATCTAATATTTTTGTATCTTTTTTTGCGTACGTTTTTATCATGTGCTCACACCTGTCAAATCTCAATATCTGCATCTGATTAATAATTTCATATGACATATGATATCAGCGTTTTTCGTGATGTGTGACTTCATATAATTGAAGACATTTTATTACCTTGTTGAAATAATAATGCGGATCGATAGATTTGTACGTGTATATGTTTTCTATATTTTTTTCGCATCTTTAGATCTGTGGAAAAAAAATTGACACATTGCATAACTGAAGATTTTACTCTTATTATTTGTTTTTTACAATTATGCTAATACGAAAGTTTGGAATGTAATATTGATTCTTGTATTCTCTTTAATTTAATTTAGTTTTGCTCGAACGGGTATTTCTTCGCTTGGGCTCTGCAGAAACAGATGAGCAGTTACAGGCATCGGTCTGTAAATTTTTGCCTCCTGTGTTGCTCAAATTATCTAGTGGACAGGAAGGCGTTAGAAAAAAGGTGATGGAATTGTTGATTCATATAAACAAGAGAATAAAGAGCAGGCCTCAAGTTCAGCTACCTGTTGAGGCATTACTCCTGCAATATCAAGATCCATCTGCTAGTTCATTTGTAATTGTATGTTGGACATGTACTGATTATTCTACAAAATTGGAAAAAAAAGAACGCATTGTAGTGTATATTTATGTAATTGCAGAATTTTACAATAATATATATAAAGTTAGGATATCCTCGAATGGAAATGAACAAACAAGCAGAGTTAGTTCCAAGTGTATTAAATGCTATCGAAGGAAAACCATTGTCTCATCAGGACAGGTATATTTATTAAAAATTTCTCAAATAAAAATTATATTTAATTTTATAGAGAGTTATTCAGTTTGAAAAATCTTGATAAAATTTATATTTTTTGCTTGTTAGTTACATCATTTTATAGTATTAAAATGTATAGTGTTTTAAAACTAGTTTTGTTTATTATTTTTAAATTAATATATGTGGTAATGTTACAGTTTAATGCTGATCATAATGCCAGCATTGGGACATATTAATATACCAACAGATCCAGACAAGCGAGCATCCCTTTTAGGCTTACATGATAAACCTTATGTTGCCAAACAACTTATAAATTTTATGCTTGATATATTACTGCTACCATATGGGTGAGATATAATTGTTATATGTTTTTTAATAATTATAACTGTATTAATTGTGTATAATATATTATTAGATCTGTGGGGCAACCAGAAAATCAGCAGCCAGGTCAAACTATTGATTTGTCTCAGTTTACTGTACCACCAGGCTTAAGTGATTATGCATTCAAGAGAGTAATAGGCGAAACCCCGCCAACGGCAGAACAGCTCGAACAAATAAAATTGGGCATTGTTAAGTTTCTTGCTGGTGGATTTTTCCCAGATGCAGATATTTTAATACATTTGATTGTAGCGGCAGCAGATACTAGATTCAGCATCGCTAATATGGCGGATCTAGAATTGAAAAAGATAGTCGGGTATGTGTATCAAAACTGTCGAAATAGGTTTATCAACTTTGAGCTTATCATAGATTAAAGATATGTAATTGTGCATGATTGTAAATGTAGCATGATTGTCTGTTTAGCACATTGGATTGGTCTTCGATGCAGTTAGCAGCTCCGCTATATACATTATTTTTGGGTACTGATGCATTAGCACATAAGGAGGTAAAACCCGAGATGAAACGGCATCCTGCGAGCACTCGAATTCGTCTCAAACTTTTACAATATCTTTGTCGTGTAACTAAGGCAGGTTTTACCATGCCACTATGTATACAGGTAAATTTTGATTTTGTACAAGATATATATTTATATAATTTAATTTAATTGTGATGAAAATATATATTTTTATTATGTTACATAAAATAATCATTTTTTCAGGTTGTTTTTGATTCACTTTATGGAAAAATACAAATACAAAATTGAAGTCATTGGCATTGCAATTTACATCAAATATCGTCCCACAGTAAGTTTTAAGTTTCCAATCATTTATTTTTTAATAAATAATGCTTTATTTTGTTATCTCGCCATTTACTGTACGAGAAATTGATAGATTGTTAATTTTATTATTTATTTTGCTAATAAACATATACATTTATGCAATGTATTATTAACTGTATTCCACATTATTTACACAGTATTACATTATAGACACAATTTGTCTACATATTAAATTGTGTTTAATTTTAAATTTCAGCTGCAGTCTTGTACCATTAGCTCGCGTTGCTGGAGTAATTTTGAATGGCATGATCAAATTGATCTCTGAGGGTGACGATGCACATAAATCAATGGCATACACAGTTATTGGACAGCTGGGTCAAAGAATACCATCTTTAATAAATAAAGATTTGAGTTTATTACACAATTTGTTCGACACGCTTGTATCTGTAAGTAGCTGATTTTATATAAATTATGTGATGATAAAAATTATCAATGTAACCCATTACATTAAATACATTTGTAATATTTAAGACGGAAGGCGAGTTACGACGGACAGTAAGAGATGCTCTGATTTGCGTAACATCTGCGTTTATACTGAACAAAGAGGATGAAAGCAACATAGCTCTAATGAATGCTTTATTATCGGTTCACATTGAATCGCCAGAATCCAGCGTAAGGCATGTATTAAATGCAGAATATTACAGATTAGGCTTACATTAATTTTAGCATATATTTTAATTGTTTTGTAACTAAAATAATCTGTATTGCAGATTTGTGGCAATGCATTACGCCGCAACCGTATTTCC